CTGTCCCTGCCTCCCAGCCGCCTCCTCTCCACACCCCGCCTGTTCCCCATGGAGCTTTCCAGAACATCCCAAAGCAGAGGACTTGGCCACGGAGCAATGTGAAGTCTGCTGTCCCTTTGCACCTGAGTCTCGCCTCCCACACTCAACAGGAAACGTCTCAGCCGGGACCAGGTGCTCCGGACGGCTGGGCCTCACTCACAGCGGGACGGTCATTGAAGCTGCGGGGAGGGCTCTGGGTGCGGACTGGCAGGAAGACGGGGTCACTGCTACACCCTGCCTGCCCGTGGGGCGAGGACCAAGCCACGGCACCCTGAGCCTCCACGTCCCACCTGTGGAATGGGAGGTTTCTCCTCCCAGGAGACAGACTCGAAGGCAGGAGAGAGGGCAGAAGACGGATTGTCATCCTGGCTCTGTCCCCTCCCAGATGGCGCGGCCGCGGGGTGGACACCAGGGCCCCAGGCGGCCCAGGCAGCCCAGTCTCCAACCCCGGGGACTGAAAAGTGCCAGGACCTCGGGCACCTCTCCAGGTGGGAACATGGAGCCGTCCTCTACCTGTTGTCCCACCCACACAGCCCGACGTGGTCCGAGGCGGGCGGCCAGCTCTGCTCTGCACCCTCCCAGCTGACCTGCACCCTCCCGGCTCTGACCTGCACCCTCCTGGCTGACCTGCACCCTCCTGGCTGACCTGCACCCTCCCGGCTCTGACCTGCACCCTCCTGGCTGACCTGCACCCTCCTGGCTCTGACCTTGGCCTTCACTCCCTGGGCCACCGCTGGCCCTGCCTGGCCGCCAGATGGCGCTGCGGCCCCAGCGATCACACTCGGAGTCTCCAGGAGGGGGTGGGGGTTGTGGGGGGGACCCCACGGGGAGAAGGCAGCCAGAGGGGTGCAGCGGGGCGCAGGCGGGGGCCCCTGCCCCCAGGGCTGCCACCCCGGCTCCCGCCTCTGCGACGGCGGAGGAGGGGCTGATGAAGGCGCCCTGATGCTTAGCTTTCAAGAAGCCAAAAGCTGGATTTTTGTTCGAAAAGCTGCCAATGATTGTCCTTTAAATTTTTATTTTTTATTTGTTTTTTAAATATATTTTATTGATTTTTTACAGAGAGGAAGGGAGAGGGATAGAGAGTTAGAAACATCAATCAGCTGCCTCCTGCACATCTCCCACTGGGGAATGTGCCTGCAATGAGTGTACATGCCCTTGACCAGAATCAAACCAGACTCTTCAGTCCGCAGGCCGACGCTCTATCCACTGAGACAAACTGGTTTCAGCTGTCCTTTACATTTTTAAATAAAAACCATTTGTGGATGGGGAAAAAAAGGGGGGGAGGGGTGTCTGTGGAACCTCACAGGGTGGCCTTGAAATGCATTCCTAACGGGGCAGGGATGGTGGCAGTCAGGCCCCAAGCCTGTGGCTTCAGTAAAAGGCCTGCCCATGGGGTCTGCATGGAGGGAGCTCGCACGCCTTTGACATGAACCCCAGCACCCACTGGAAAGCAGGGGTCTTGCGGACTCCCCCACTATCGAATCCCGCCTTGCTTTCTCCAATCTTCCTCCTCCTCTCTTGACTTTCAAATGCACAAAGGAACCGGCGAGACTGTTTCCCAGAGCGTTTGAGGTCTTGCTCCCAGCACATGTCGTCAGCTTGGCTCACATACACTCTTATAAAAATTCTCTACCACCTCTGAACCGGAAGGTCACGGTTTGATTCCCAGTCAGGGTTGATCCCCAGGAGGGAATGTGCAGGAGGCAGCCAATGGGTGATTCTCTCTCATCATTGATGCTTCTCACTCTCTCTCTCTTCCTCCCCTGCCCCTCCTCTCTGAAATCAATAAAAATATATATTTTTAAAAATTCTCTATAGGTTTGGATGTTTCTGACATCTACATCCTTTCCTAAAAGGTGATGAAGAGCATAGCTGGGGGGATATAGGGAGGAGCAGCCAAGCCCTGCCTCTGGCTGCCTCCCCTCCCCTGCCCACAGGAAACCACAGCCGCCTCCTGGCTCCATCTCAGGCCTCAGCAGCCTCCTGGCTCCCGCTCAGGCCGCAGCAGACCTGCGTGGGAGCCTGGCCTGCCACCTCTCCCCACCCCCCAACACACACACACACACCTCTCTGGTCTGTGAGTCACAGACTTCCACACCCGCTGCCAGCCAGCGGCTTCTCAGTTTTCTTTGGCGTTAGGGCTGACATTTAAAGTTCTACCGACTCCGGAGACTACATTGACCGTGGAAACTCTCAGACATTAACTGATACGCAGGGAAACGCGCAGAGAGGTTACTGTCAGAGAGACGGGATGTGTAAACTGGCAGAGACCAGGCTTCCACCTGACCAGTAACGTTTAACTTCACGTTGAAACACTCGTGCCCACCTCCGGCTTATCGCAGCAGCAGGAAGTGCACGTGTTGGTGATTGGCCCAGTGATCGTAAAAACGCCCTCTGTCCCTTGGAAAGCCGGGATGCACTCATTCCGTCCTAACATAAAGTTTTTTTTTTTTCTACGGAGTGAGGTGAAGAGCAGCGTTTTCTGTGTTTGCAGTTCTCTGCAGTGCCTGATGGAGTCTAAGAGCTGGATTCTCACTTCTGCTTCTGCATCCGGGAAACCCCAGCCTGCCCCCGAGAGAAAACCCGTCAGCGGGGCCGAGAGCTCAGTGTGGTGTGCTTGCAGAGCTGGTTTCCAGCCGTGGGGTCCCCAGAGCCCCCGGTGATTATCCTGAGGGATGGAAGGCCACGCTCCAAGGGGTGCCGGCGAGGGGAGGGGGGTGGCCGGAGAGGCCAGCGGGTTTTGGACCCCTTCTCTTAACCACACCTGGCCCCACGGAAGTCCCGTCCCCCGCCTGGAACTGGCTCCGCAGGGAACTCCTACGGCGATTTGGCACTCACCCATTGCTGCCCCCACCCCCCCCACACCCCCGTTTTTGAACTGGAGAATTTTTTCTAAGAGGAAACCATCCTAACCTGCAAGGAAGCAGTAGTGGTGATTAGGTAAGGGATGGCTTCCAAAGCCCAATACTCTGCCGTCTAAAGAAAAAAGTAAGAGGGAAGGATGTTGTTTGTTACAAATGTAGTCTCCAATTAATTTTTTAAAAATATATTTCATTGATTTTTTTTACAGAGAGGAAGGGAGAAGAATAGAGAATTAGAAACATGGATCGGCTGCCTCCTGCACACCTCCTACTGGGGATGTGCCCGCAACCGAGGTCCGTGCCCTTGACCGGAATCGAACCTGGGACCCTTCAGTCCACAGGCCGATGCTCTATCCCCTGAGCGACACCGGTTTCGTCTTGCCTCTAGTTTATTAAGAGAGTACACAAATGTAGAAGAACGTGACCTTTTTAGTGTGTTTTTGGAAGAAAATAATACATGGATAGCTGGGAAATGGCTTACAAGAACTGGTTATCTTTGGGGACACACAAAAACTTTTAAAAAATGTTTAAACCTCCCAGCAACGAACAGCACATTGTGCACCAGTGTTCGCTGTACAACCGCGTTTGGTCCTTAAAGACGAGGCTGCAGGCGGGGTTCCCGCCCGTTTCCCGCGGTCCCCGGTGAGCACCCAGAGCCCCATCTCCCGCGGAGTCCACACGGCCGCCCCCTCCCTGCTCCTCCTTTTCCGCTCCCCCCGCCCCTCCAGCGGCCCGCCAGCCCGCTTTCCCTGGCCCCGCCCCTCCGACGCAGCCCGCCTCTCTGGCCCCGCCCCTCCGGCGGAGCCCGCCTTCCCTGGCCCCGCCCCTCCGGCGGAGCCCGCCTCTCTGGCCCCGCCCCTCAGGCGCAGCCCGCCTCTCTGGCCCCGCCCCTCCGGCGCAGCCCGCCTCCATGGCCCCGCCCCTCCAGCGGAAACCGCCTCTCTGGCCCCGCCCCTCCGGCGCAGCCCGCCTCCATGGCCCCGCCCCTCCAGTGGAGCCCGCCTCTCTGGCTCCGCCCCTCCGGCGCAGCCCGCCTTCCTGGCTCCGTCTCCCTGGCCCCGCCTCTCCGGCCCCGCCCCTCCAGCAGAGTCCGCCGGCCCGCCTCTCTGGCCCCGCCTCTCTGGCCCCGCCCCTCCTGCGGAGCCCGCCCCTCTGGCCCCACCCCTCTCCCTTCGCGCAGCCCACCCGGTTCCATGTCCCTGGCCCCGCCTCTCTGACCCCGCCCCTCCGGCGGAGCCCGCCTCCCTGGCCCCTTCCCATTGGTTGGGCGCCGCCCTGCCGCGTCCAATCAGAGCGTTTTGCGCCAAATTTGAATCTCTGTTTTCGTTTGAATCCGGAGACGGGGCGGGAGGCTCTCCGCGCCTGCGCTACGGACGCCGTGCAGCTTGAGGCCGCGGCTGGGCGGGCTCCGGGCACCGGGGAGGGCGACGGCGGGGGAGCGGGCGGCGGCGGCGGCCGAGGGGGGCGCGCGCCCGCAGGCCGAGGCCCTGAGCCTGTAGCGCGGGGCGGGCGGCGGGCGGTGGGCGCGAGTGGACAGGGGGCGGGCTCCTACCGCGCGGACTGGGGCTGCGCACCGAGGAGCCGAGGACGCCCGGGCGGCGGGGCAGCGATTCGCCGGTGAGTGTGGGCGCCGCGGGCGGGGGCGGGGGCCGGAGCCGCGGGCTCCCCGCTGGGCAGTGCGAGGGGCGGGGCCGGCGCTGCGCTGACCCCTCGGGCTGTGCCGGGGCGCGGACGGGAGCCGCGGGGACCGCCCGGGAGCGCGGCCTGGCCGGGCTCGGCCACGGGGTCTTGGAGGGAATCGCAGGGGAGGGACCCCGTGGGCGTCCTGACCGCGGGTCCCGGGGCGATGCTTGCGGGAGGGCGCCGGGGGCTGTCAGATAAGGCGGGGGCCCGGCGACAGGGCCCGGTGAGTTGAGCAGGGAACCCCGTTCGGTGCCTCACAGGGACCGCTCGGCCCGTTGCTTTCGGAGACGCACACCCTCCGCCACCCCGCGTCGTGTGTGTGTTTTATCCAGCGCGTGTCCTGCGGCAGGAGTTGCTGGTTACGTTTGCTTCCGCCTGACCTTCCCGTGCGGCTCGGCCTCCAATTCCCCTTAGAAAATGGGTCCGACGGGCCGCCTGGTGACCATCAAGAGGAGCGGGCTGGACGGCGCGCACTTCCCCCTGAGCCTGAGCACCTGCTTGTTCGGGAGGTGAGCCTGCGCCCGCGGGGCAGTTTGGGGTGAAAGACCCCAATGTCCTCCCCCCGGCTCCCCCGCTGTCACCTGGCCGGGGACTCCCTGTGCACTGTCCACCCCAGGGAGTGGGTTTGTTACCGAACGGAATGTCAGACAACGTTTATATTTTAGCTGGTGATTCAGGCAAGCACGCACGTTCACCCTGATCTGACGCCGTCTTAGGGGAAAAAAGCATAGGTGGCCGCAGTGCCCCATCGCTTCTTTAGGAGACGGCTGCGGCCATCTGAACAGCCCGGGCCTCCGCTGAGCAGAGGAAGGAAGGCGGTGCCTGTGGGGCTGGCTGGTCTCGGTGGGGAAATGACCTGGGAGGTGTTTTGAGTTTCCCTGGTTGCCTTCCTGTGTCACCCGGTGGGAGGCTCACGCATCAGTGCGCAGAGGTCCCGAATGCTGCCACCCACCCGGCCTGCACCCTCGAGCCCCCGCCAGGAAGCCTTCCGGGACCTAAAAGGTCAGCAGCCCCAGGTTAAGGGCCCCTAGGCCTGTGGTCGACAAACTGTGGCTCTCGAGCCACATGCAGCTCTGTGGCCCTTCCACAAAATACCTCGGCCTGGGTGAGTCTGTTTTGAAGACGTGGCGTTAGAAGAAGTTATTTACAAAATGTGGCTCTCCAAAGAAATTTCCATCGTTGTGCTGTTGCTACTTGGCTCTGTTGACTAGTGAGTTTGCCGACCACTGGGCTAGGCTAAGGTGATCCTAGTCGGCAGCCTCCTGTCAAAGATTTCTCAGTCCTCATGAGGGAGTCTCTCTTTCTGGAATATTCTCTCACCTAAATAGTCAAACTACCTTCTTTGACTTAAAGTAGCCGTTCACTTTTCATAGCTTCTTTTGGAAAGAGAAAAGAAGGTTTAAAAACATGTTGGCGTTGAATGGCAGTAATTATGGTAATTACTCAGCAACGGTTAACGTGTGTAGGCATGATTTTGCCATTTAGAAAGGACGTGGGTGGGAAGAGAGATCTTAGACTCCAGAGATTCAAGCTGAGAACAGAGATGAGAGTTGTTCAAACTCATAAAACCCCGGATGGTAATGGGGATCCCCAGCGGACCTCACCCAGGGCCTCTGCTGGGTTTCTGTGGGTTTGGAAGTCTCTGTCTCTGTGCTTCCTGCCGGGGTTAGCTTTTTTGTGAAAAGACAAGTCAAATCTAGAGAATGGTTTTTGTTGTTGATGTTGCTTGCAGGTTAGTATTTTTAGTGATAGGCTTGTGCATCTGTCAATAAAAGGAGTATAGCTTTAAAACAACAGTCAGAAGCTCACAAGTAATAGCATTTACTGTGTGCCGGGCAAATGCTGATGTGCGTAACTCATTTTATCCTCTAAAGAACACCGTGATACAGGTGCTAATGTAATCCTGTTTTTGTCTGTAAAGAAACAGGTAGAGAAGGTTCTGGGGTAAAATACAGCACTTTTGATGATGATTTTAACCTTAAACTATACTTAACATTACAAGTGGACATAAACTTTTTTGTTGGGGAAAGAAAAAAAAAGCACAGTATTAAAAGTAATGTTCATTCTCCAAACTGATGTAAAATATTCCTTTAGTTGGGTCTTTTTAGCATAGATATCTTAGTAAAAGGCAAATCAACTTTATATTGTAATGTTTTCTAGTGTAATTATCTTTATCTAATTTTTAATGATTTAATTATCTTTATCTAATTTTTAATGATTTAAGATAGTTGCTTATATAATATTTGTTATTTGCAAAATCTAGAGATCATTGAGGTTTACCCAGCTTATTATTTCTTTAGTAGAGGCTCTGTACCCTCTTGCAACCTGGGACCCCTCAGGGGAGGTTGGACTGCCAGTTTTGTTTTGATTCCTGCAGGCCAGGCTGAGGGGCCCCACTGGGCATCTAGTGTGCATATAAGATCTTTGGTTAATTTCTTCCCGCCTCCCCCTTCCCTTTGAGATTCATCAGTCTGTTCCATGTTTCCATGCCTGTGCGCTGAGCGTCTTCCCCTGGTGGTCAGTGCGTGTCATAGCTACTGGTCAAGCTTAGGCATATATATATATATATATATATATATATATATATATATATATATATGTCATTACATTTATAGACCAAACGTAGTCAAATGCTGTTTTATTTGGAATTACATTGCTGTAATTCTTTAAATGCAACAACCTAAAGAAGTCTTCATTCTTTCCGACCAAGGGGCATTGAGTGTGACATCCGTATCCAGCTTCCTGTCGTGTCCAAACAGCACTGCAAAATTGAAGTCCGTGACCAGAAGGTTAGCGGGGCGTGGGAGTCAGTTTTAAAAAGCCTTCGCGGCACGGCACGTGTTACCCATGTATTTCACCTTCCCCCTTTTCTGCTTTCAGGCATTCTTGTTTAACTTCAGTGCCGCAAACCCAACCCAGGTGAACGGGTCTGCCATCGACGGGCCTGTGCAGCTCAAGCACGGGGACGTGATCACCGTCATTGACCGCTCCTTCAGGTCAGTGTGGCTCTCCTCAGGGTGGGCGAATGTCCACGTGTCTGAGATGGACCTTCTCCACACTGACTCCTAACCGGAAATCACAGGGGCATGTGCAGCCGGCGGCCTCCCGTTCAGGGATTTGAGAGCCCAGAAAGCTGCTGAGGAGGGGTGGCCTGGTCCCACGGGAGTTTCAATTTACTGGAAGTGTTGAGACTTTGGAAACGGTTTTTAGTTTATTGTTTTAAAGATATTCCTAGAGGAAGGTACAAAATAAGACAGGCGTGAACAGCCTTGTGATCATTACATGTTTTGGGCTGAATGCCCTCCCCTTCTGCAAATTTAGGTATCAAAATCCTCGCCCTAGGACCTCAGAGCGTGAGGCAGGGCATTGAAAAGGTGATTACGTTAAAATGCAGCCTTTAGCCGAAACCAGTTTGGCTCAGTGGATAGAGCATCTATCTCTGGACTAAAAGGTCCCAGGTTTGATTTGGGTCAAGGGCATGTACATTGGTTGCGGGCACATCCCCGGTGGGGGTTGTATAGGAGGCAGCTGGTCGATGTTTCTCTCTCATCAATGTTTGTAGCTCTCTATCCCTCTCCCTTCTTCTCTGTGAAAAATCAATAAAATATATTTTTTTTAAATGCAGCCTTTAGAATAGGCCCTAATCCAGTCTGACTGGTGTCCTTAAAGCAGAGGACATGAGGACACACAGAGAACCAAGGGGGCAGGTGCTCAGAGGGAAACTGTGTGTACAGGTGGCAAAGGGAAACCATAGCAAGGCGAGGAGCAAGCCCCAGAGGAAACCAACCCTGCTGGCACCTTGACATTGGACTTCCAGCCTCCAGAACAGTGAGACAAACTGTTTAAGCCACCCAGTGAGCGGTATTTTGTTATAGAAGCCCCAGCAAACTAACCACCATCTACAGCTTGCTTAGATGTCTGAAGCTTCCTTCACGCAACTTCTAATCACTACTGATTTCTCTGACCACACTTTCCGATGGCATGCAAGTCTGGGGTTTTACTGCGTGAGCCTGCATCCCTGACCACTGTGGTTTTGTCTGTTTATTAAACTCCATCCATTTTTAAAACGATGGACATATTTGTAACTGATTTCTTCTCTCACAGTGCAGGCATTCAGAGCATGGATGTCCTCACTGCATAAGTATCCCTGAAATAATACATACAGTTACCCACACAATCTATTCACTCTGGATGGACGGTGGAGTAACTTCATGTTTGAAATGCATCAGGGTTTGCTTTATGATTCCATAGGATTAGCTCTTACTGATCTGTGTTTGAAAGAGGGTGTGTTGACAGCTGCTGGGTGCAGTGTTCTGTCTATGGTCTGTGCGTATTCGGTTCAGATTCTAGAATCACTGTCACCCCCTCCCCCCTCCCCCGCCACCACCCCGATTCTTAGTTACTGACACAGGCGAGTTAAGTCACACATTGAGGGTGTTTGTTTTCCAGGCTCTATCAGGTATCATGTAGACGTGTTCTGTGTCTTTAGTAGAGCTTTTGATTAGACTGCACACGACTTTTTTTTATCACATACTTCGAACTTCGAACTTTTCACGATCCTTAAGGGTAAGGTTGTCTCTTGGAACCAGCTGTTAGGGGCACATTTGTTATAATCAGTTTTGTTGTTGGGGTTTTGTTTGTTTGTTTGTTTGTTTTTATCGACCCTGTATCACTATAACACGTGCTTGGTCTCTGAGAACAATGTCTGTCTATTTTTTCTGAGGGCTGGGGTCGCCTCTCCAGCCCTCTTCCGGTTGCTGTTTGCAGGTGTATCTTTCCTGCCCTTTTCCTGGCTTCCTATTTGTGTCTTTGAATCTAAGTTGTGTCTCTTAAAGAGATGTGTAGTTGGTTCACTTTTCACCCGTTTTGCTGAGCGGAGCTCTGCCTTCGTCATGGCCTGTGTTAAATACTGGTGCTGTCCGTTGTACCTCCCCCCATCTGGGCACTTCTTTTCCTGTGCTTGTTGTGGATTTGCTTCGTTGTTAAAGGGCATGTGTATTGACTAGAGAGCTCTAGGTAGGAAGTCTTTGATGTGAAACTGAGGCCAAAACTATTGTCCCCAAAGGAGCTGCTGTTTGAGTTCACATTACTGGAGAACACTGACTCCCTCCAGCAGAGAGTCGAAACGGTTCTTAGGAAGAGGGACCTGATCTGGAGCTCTGCTCCCTGAGAAACCATCCCAGAATCCTTGCTGCTCCCCATTGCGCTCAGGTGGCATCTAAGTTTGAATCAGGCCCTTTCCCTGGTACCCAGGTTCTGTCTGCCTTTTAGGCAGCTGTGCTGTGATGTGGTGCCTGAGGTTTTGTGAGGACCACGATGCCTCTTGCTGAATATCCCTCATCTTCATGCAGGGTGCCCGCCGCTGTTCAGACACAGATGGGATAAGTGGGGGCTGGCGGGATCAGTGTGTTTTCAGGGTAACGCATAGCTCTAGTCTCTGCAGGAAGTGACATCACAGTGGTTCAGGCAGCAGCCGCCCCTGGCTTCCTGGTTAGCCTTCCAAGCCGTTGGTTGGTTTCCATGACTGTAAACTAGCAGACACTGATTCTGTTCCACTGCAGTGGTTCGAACATAGCAGGTACTCAAGGATTGCGAATCACAGGCTGGTCAGCGTTCAGAAATTAATCCGGTGCCCAACCTCAGACTCCAGTCCTGAAAGAAACTTGAGGTGACCCACTCTAAATTTTTTTCCAGGAATAGGGTAACATCTTGAAGTTTCCTCCTTATTCCTTGGATACTAGTCAGATACTCAGGCTGCCGATCAGTAATCTGAATATGTGTCTGTCATTCTGTACACTTCAGGTATGAAAATGACAGTCATCCGGACGGAAGCAAGTCAACTGAATTTCCAGGACAAAGATGTGAACAGGTGACCATGGTGGGGTAGTATCAAACTTGGGGCTCTGATTCTTTTGCGTGAAGACAGGAAATCATTTATGTGCACATTGATGAACAGTTTCTCATAAGGGAGGTGACTAACCAGTTATAGCAGGAGAGTGTACCCAAGGTATTAAAACAAGGTGAACTTAGATTACTTTTTTTTTAATCCTCACCTTCTAAGGATGTTTTTATTGATTTTTTTTTTTTTAGAGAGAGAGAACATTGTTTTCTTCCTGTGCTTGATTGAATCTGTTTTTTGTAAATTTCATGGCCTAAATGTACAGTGGTATAAAGTCTACAGTCGTGTACAGTACGTCCAAGGCCTGCATAGTCACTCACCAATCACTGATGCCTTCACAACAATCTCCAGTCCTGTAAGCTCTGTTCAGGGTCAGTGCCCCATATGGGTGTACCAATGCTTATCGTGCACACCACATCATTAGTATCCCTTTTCATAAATACTTGCTCCACTGCATTGCAGGGGCCTGCCGTATTCAGCACAGTAGCCTGTTGGGCAGGTTTGTTGCCTAGAACTCACAGGCTGTTCCCTATGGCCTCGCTGTGCAGTAGGCTGCACCGTGCAGGTGTGTGTAAGAGAACTGAGAACAAAACTGCCTCGAGATGGACTCCCCAGGTTCACGGGCGCGTGACTGTCTGTAACCGCAGTTTCAACCTCTCCCAGGAGTAAAACTAGCCCAGTCACTTTGCAACTTCCTGTTCCACACCAGTCTGCCTAGTGAGGCTCCTGTGGCTCCCTTCTCTAAGGCAAGGTGACCTTGCCTGAAGCAGTCCTTCCTTCTTTACTAATAACCTCTCCACACCTATTGCCAAAGCCTCCGTTTTCCACAGCTCCTCTGAGATTCTATTTACTGGACGGGAAGCTGCCCGCTTCCTGCCAACCAGGCCTTCCAGCTGACTCGGTTGAACTAAGCACTGTTAGAAGTAGTGCGAGCCCCCAAAATCAGGACTCCTGGTAGAGCACCAAGCGTACTGGGGAGCCAGGCAGCAAGGCCAATGTCTCCTTCTGCAGGAGGGTGTGCTCGCCCACAGGCTGGGAGCACACGCGCCCCATCGCCGTATTTTTGAAATCAGCTAAGAAATACTTGTGTTCTGAGCAGTAGCACCTGTGGGTCGGGCTCTTCTCTCAGCCTCTCAAAGTCCTATAAGAATCATTAGGCAAAGCCGATCATCGATAGATAGGATGTTTTAATGAACTTGACTGTCGGTGTCGCAATAGGTACTAAATTGCTGTTCATTCTTTACCAATTCACAGAAATCTCCGAGACGGCTCTCAAGGTCTAGCTTCTCTTCCAACCCCGGTAAGTAGTGTTTCATTCCTTCCAGATCTGCCAGGTCAGTGCTCCATAGCATAATGGCAAGGAGCAGCCACCAACATCACACACGTCCTACGTCCAGGCTCAGGCAGACCCTGAGTTAACGTTCTTCTCCAGTGCTGTGGGGGCTTATGGGAGAAGCCAGGCGTAAATAAATTGTCTTGCTCAGTTGTCTGCTGAGTTCTGAGTAGAATAATAGCATTTTATCTCAGATTAGTTATAGGACACTAATGTGATTTACTTATTTGGATCAGATCATAATATTAGATCTGATGTAATATGTAGTATCAGAATACTGTTATTGCACATTTGGGACACTCAGTAATGTGTAGGCCAGTGGTCGACAAGCCACATGCGGCTCTTTGGCCCCTTGAGTGTAGCTCTTCCACAAAATACCACGGCCTGGGCGAGTCTACTTTGAAGAAGTGGCGTTAGAAGAAGTTTTTTTTTTTCTGTTTGTTTGTTTTTTAAATATATATTTTATTGATTTTTCACAGAGAGGAAGGGAGAGGGATAGAAAGCTAGAAACATCGATGAGAGAGATACATTGACCAGCTGCCTTCTGCACACCCCACACTGGGGATGTGCCCACAACCAATGGACATGCCCTTGTCCGGAATTGAACCTGGGACCTTTCAATCTGCAGACCAACGTTCTATCTACTGAGCCAAACTAGTTTTGGCAGAAGAAGTTTAAGTTTAAAAAATTTGGCTCTCCAAAGAAATTTTAATCGTTGTCCTATTGATATTTGGCTCTGGTGACTCATGAGTTTGCCAACCACTGGTATAGGCTAAGTGAAGAGCTAGGTTATACGATAGTTTGAAACAGGTGTAAGGACTGCATACTGCATGCGTTAACCATTGAGAACATCTGGAACTTGTTTCTTTTTTCATATCTCACTGTCAAGATGGGAAAGTTCAAGATCCCAGTGCTGCCCACTCACAAGTCACTGAAGAGGGAGGCTCAGGAGGGCCCCTGGAGCGCAGGGAGCATGTTGGGGCGACCCGCACCCCCTCCCGCGGCTCAGAAGGCCCCGCTACCAAAGGCCCAGCCAATGCTGGTTCCTCGGAGGCCCCCGGAGGTCACCACGGAAACGCAGCGGGGCCCCTTGCTGGGGGGTTTGGAGCGGGTTCCCGTGTGACCGCCGCGAACTGGAATGGAGGGCAGGATCCGGAGAAGGACGGAGAGAACGAGTCTCCCTTCCGGAAGCTCTACGAGTCTATGAAGGAAGAGTTGGACGTGAAACCAGAGAAAGAGGCTGTTCCACAGAATCGCAGAAAATCGGGATCCCGGGGCCACGGTGCATCAGAATCCGAAAGTGCGACTCAGCCCCGGGTCTCCCCCAAGGCCAGGCGGAGGTCTGGTCGGAGCAGCCAGGCGGAGGCAGAGAGAGCGGGCGAAGGACTGGCTCAGGCTCCAGAGGCCACCCCGAGTCCCAGCATGCCCCCCACAGAGACGCCCAAGGCCAAGACCCCCGTCCCCTGCTCACAGCAGAATTCCTCCCAGAAACGCCGGAGTGGAGACCTGAGTGTCACCCGTGGGGGTGGACCTGTGAGTGTGCAGCCGAGGGAAGACCTCGGGGCAGACAGGGCCGCGTCTGCTCCCAGGAGGCTCTCAGCCAGACAGCAAACACCTACTAATGGCACAAGCGCTGGCGACCTGGGCAATACAGCAGAAAAGCTCTCTTCCAGGAAGAGGAGAAGGAGCCTGTCTCCCACGGCCGGCGATCTCTCCACGGGAACAGACTTCCCAAAGCAAGCCCCGCTCTCCCCGCTGCCAGTCCCCACGGAGCATAAGGTTCCCGGCGGGGCCCTGGGCACGCCCAGGCAGCAGGGCGCCGGGTCCCCGGGCCTCAGTGCCGTGGATGTCAGCAACATTGGCGATGCCCTCAGTAAGTTCATTTCACTTTAAGTTCATTTTCCCCCAACGTGTGCACGTACCTAGGTTACCGGTGTCTGGGTATGAGTCGATGACACCACCTTTCTAAAATGACAGTGGGTGGGGTCCCAGGATTGCCTGGGGGAGTCCCCTGCAGAACTTTCCCAGCTTGTTCTACTCGCCGTGCTGGTCCCGGTGAGGCCCATGCAGGTGTCTTTTGGGAACGTTTTCTCGGGGCTGCTAAAGCAGCCACCTCCATCAGCCCGGCTCTGCAGGGAGCGCCCCCTGTGTCAGGCTGATCCCCTTAGGAGCTGTGTCCATGCAGGGGTTCAGCGTCTTAAAGAACATCTTGGTACCGTCCAGAGGGGCCAGGCGTTTTGACGGTTTGGCCCTGATCTGTCGTGAGCTCTAGAGGCACCTTTAGCTTTCCCGGCACCACCAGAGAGTGAAGTAATCCGGCATCAGGAATCGTTGGTCTGACTTTAAGATCAATTGGAAACAAGGCACAAGTACTAGGGTGGTCTTTTCATCCCCTTTCCCGTTGGTCTTCATTCCTTTAGGTAAGACTGAGGGGAAGCCCTTAAAGAGAAGGCGGGTCTCCTTCGGGGGCCATCTGAGACCGGAACTGTTTGATGAAAACTTACCTCCTAACACCCCTCTCAAAAGGGGAGAGACCCCGATGAAAAGACGCTCTCTGGTAGCCCACACGCCTCCCGTCCTGAAGAAAATCATCAAGGTACGTTCCGCAGCCAGCACTCGCCCTCCTGCGTGATGCTCCCGTCCGGAGACCTTCTCTTTCCTAGCACTCCCACGAGTAGAATTGCAATTAAACCTTTTCCTCCTAATATAAAGTAAAAATGAAAAGTCCAAATGAGCTTATTCACCGGGGTGTTGAAAACGAGCACTTGGTTCCTACCCACGGCTGGAAGGTGGCCACGCACAGGTGCACAGCCTCCCTCCCGCAGGGGTCACCATGACAACTCCGGTGAGAAAAGTCCAGGGCCATCAGGACCCATGACCACAGGGCGGCTCTTTTTCTTTAGACGCATAAGCTGAAAGGAAAATCTTAGGTGGCAGCACACTGCGATTCTCACCATCAGCTGCTCAGAACTGTAATCAATTCACCTTTGTCACAGAGGCTGGGCTAAGGCACCTGCCGTGTGTGTGTGTGTGTGTGTGTGTGTGTGTGTGTCCTCCCCGTTTTACACTGGCTCCCTGTAAAGCAGCCTCCTTTCCGGCAGAGAGACCACAGGGGCCGCACACCCACTGGTGCCTTCGCTGGGATTCAGGCAGAGCCCTCGGCCCTCCTCGGGAGATCCCCTCCATCTTTCCTCCTAAAACACCCCAGGGAAGGCTTGTCTGCTGCTTCCCCCCGCACCCCCTTGCACTTGACAGTGGGTGCCATGTTTTGGTGCTTCAAGATTTAAACGGCGAAAATTCTTGGGGTGTGTCTATTCAAATCCAGTTTTATTAAAATTATTCAAGAATTTGGGAGCAGTACAAAGACTTTCCTATGAGCACTAGACGTGTTTATGGTTTTGGTGGGGGGGTCCCTGTACTTGGAAACGGCGTCAGTTCTTCCTGGGCGGCGCTCCCTCAGTCATCACAGCGGTTACAGCGGTGCAGCGTTCAAAGCAAGCTAACGGGAGCGTTTCCATCTCACCAGGAACAGCCATCGGAAAAGGGGGAACCTTCAGAAATCCGTTCGGAGGTGGCCACGCAAAACAGTCCTACGAACACGTCTCCACTTATAAATGATGCTCGCCAGCGGTCCTCCAAGTCACCTGCCTCGAGTGGCAGCAAATCTCCACATCACACAGATGCCCCTAAGCGGGGAGGCAGGCGGAGCAGCAGCGGGCCCGCCAGGAGGGCCTCCGTGGACCGGAGCCAGCGCGGAATCCTGCAGACCATTCACTCCCGGCGCAGGAGCGGGGCCTCGGAAGCCAACCTGATGGGTGAGTTGCGGGAACGCGCGTGTTTCGCGGTGAATTTTCTCACCACTGCCGCCAGTGCTGGGAAGTTTCACCTCCTTTTCCTTCCGCCAGTGTCGAGGTCGTGGGCAGATGTGGTGAAGCTTAGTGCCAAGCAAACACAAACTAAAGTCATGAGACATGGTCCCCCAAGACCTGGTCCCCCAAGACTGCCAAGCAAAAGGCAGAGAAGAGTTAACACCCCAAAGGTATGTGTCCATGGTGCGTGGCTGCTACCCGTCATGCTATCCAGGCACCTTCCAGGTGGCCACGCTCTGACACGTTGCGCTCTCTTGCCTGTTTTCCAGAAGCCTCTGGCCAGCGTTCACAACGAGTTCAGCACCGGCCACGCCGCCTCTCCCTGCACCATCGTGATCGGGAGAGCTCACATCGAAAAGGTCAGTGCGCCTGCTCGGCCCTACAGGATGCTGAACAACTTCATGATCAACAAAAAAATCGACTTTAATGAAGACCTTTCAGGTAAGATCACAGGCCTGGCTCTTTTACCCACAGCCCTCCGCTCTGGGAGGACGTGGGTGGGTGTCTGTCTGCAGAGAGGGGGACAAGAGACCAAACAATCCCGTCAGGATGGTCCAGGCCGAGAAAGCTGCATTGGGAACAGTGACGGGGCCCTGGCACTCGGGGGATCACGTGTCCTGCATGAGGCAGGCATGCTGGGTGGATGCACACTTGCACCTCCGAGAGCAGCACGGGTGTAAGAACGCCGGAAGCTGCTCTCTGGGGAGAAGGCGGCTTGCTCTGATGAGCGCTCCTTCCCTGCACTGGTGCGAAGCAGTTTCCCCAGAGCTGGAGCAACGGGTGTGAGCAGTGTTTTCTTCAAGCGTTCCTTGTTTTCATGTAGCTTACCTGTTTCAAGAATCAAAGGACTGGGAAGAAGTTTTCTTTAAGCATGAATAATGTTGAGCCAATGTTGCCATTCTCATTAGAAGAATCCTTATGATTGTAGTAGATATGAACCATGGCCAGACCCAGGGTTAGGGTTTCATGCCACCACGCTGGGCCAGCGGTGGGAGATGAGACTTTAGCCTGGCAGGTGGGCTCTTTTATTTATTTCAGGGCAGGTTGTGCCATAGAAGAGCTGTCCTCTGAAAAGATGGGGATGCTACTACCTGACAGTACTAAAAATGGGCAGCGCTACGTCGTTTTTAAAATTGGGGGACGTTTCGCTTGTACTTAGTATCCAGAGCTGCATAGCCTCAGATGGCACAAGGTCGCTAGGTCTCTGGTGCCATGAGGGCAGCCTCCAGCCTCTGGCCAGTGCCCACAACTGGAGACTGAGACAACTTCCTTTGCTTATTTTTCTTTCCAAGGGGAAAGGCAAAGACGAGGGAGCACCTCTAAGATGTTAACGTCCCATCATTGCCCTCTTTTAACAGAATGAGTCTATTATCACTAATGTAGCTCCTTCACCCAAGACCCTCTCCCAGGGATTCCAAGGTGTGATTCCTCAGTTGAATGCGGGGACTGACACGGCTGTTTGTATATAAGAGTGATCTGTTTGTTGTTTCCCCCCCCCACTATTTCCATTTAACAGGGTTAACTGAAATGTTCAAGACCCCAGCAAAAGAGAAGGCACAAACAATGAACCTAGGTCCCACCACTTTTTCAAATTCCGAGGACTCGCTTGGGAAAAAGTTTCAAGTACTTAATTCAGAAGACAAACCTCTGCTCTGCACCCCAGAAAAGTTTGGTGGGTTTACTGTTTTCCCCCCTAACTCTTTTGATGTCTTCAATAGAACTGTAGATGGGGGTGTTTGTTTTGTAACAGATACTGCATTATTTCTCTACAATAGGTACTCATGATAAGATACCATTTCCGGCTTCTCTGTTCTATTGCTTTTAGGGAAAATCCCTATCAGCGGTTGAACCCGCACTGGCATTCAGTGACTTGAGTGAAAAGGATTATTTTCTTTCATAATCAAACTACTTTTGCCTTTTTTATTATAAGTAAAGAGGACGAGAAGCAGAAAAGTGTAATCTCTCTCATCATACTTAAATGTAAATTACTCAAACTCAAAAAGATTGCAAATTGTCCGAGTGTGAGTGTGAGATGGGAACTGTGAGTCTGTCTTACTCTTGTTTGGAACCACGTTGTATTTTAGAGTGAGCTAATTTGCTATATTGAACATGCTTCCCATAGGATAAGAGTAGATGTTTCCAATGTAATGTGGACAATCAGTGAATGTATAAGCCATATTATTGCATTGGTGGTTCAGAAAGGAAATAGCTTGCCGAAAACAGTTTGGCTCAGTGGATAGAGCATCGGCCTGCAGACTGAAGGGTCCCGGGTTCGATTCTGATCAAGGGCATGTACCTTGGTTGCAGGCACATCCCTAGTAGGGGGTATGCAAGAGGCAGCTGATCAATGATTCATCTCTCATCGATGTTTCTAACTCTCTATCCCTCTCTCTTCCTCTCTGTAAAACATCAATAAAATATATTTTTAAAAAAAAAGAAGAAGAAGAAGAAAAGAAATAGCTGTTTCTCATGTTTAAAGAAAACAGGTCACTGAGACATGGCGTGGCAGCCTTTAGGAGACCCTGCCTTTTTTCCTTGATCTAATCCCTGTGGATTCTAACCACCACCTATGTATGAGCCCACTGTATAGCACCAAATGCCCTTATTCTTAAATGTGCTTGGTTCATATGTCAGACAAATGTCTAGCCACATAAGCAGATTCATATTATTAGTAAAGTGGAGAGGGAGGTGAATTATTGCCTCTTACACAATACTTCATGAGGATAAAATACCAGATTGGTTAGAACACAATGAAGAAAATGTATTTATTGTGCTTTTTATTTTCCTTATAGGAGAAAAGGATCTGAATGCACCAGACGAACTATGGGATAAACAGTCTTCAAGCTCAGCCTTTACACAACAGTATGTTACAGTAAATGGAAATATGAAAACCCCACGGTTGGAGACAGAGCTTCCGAAGGCAGCATCCAGTACAAACAAATTCAGGAGGTCCGTGGAGCTCAGAAATATACAGGTGACAAGTGCAGAAGGTGGAAAGGATGACAAAGAAGTCGACACTGTTCAGAACATCTTGGGAAGATGCCTGAGAAAATCATCAGTACAAACACAACTACCAGAGGGAGAGATGAAGGAAAGGGAAAGATCCTTTGGAACATGTAATAAAAACAATGAACCAAGAGAAAACTCTGAAAAACCGATCACTGGGAGGAGATCAAGAAGATCATCAGAGCTGAAATGCACACCAAGAGCAGGCCTGACCCCCATCCAGACATTGCAGGAGACAGAATCTAAGGAAGACCTGGAGGGCAGCCACAGTTTCCTCCAAAACCCAAGCTGCGCTGAGCAACCAGTGGGTACGGAAACCAAAACGATATTGATGCCCTGCAAATCCCCAGCACCAGTCAGCACACCCACCAAGGTGAACACACACATCAAGACTCCTTCCCAGAGAGCGAATGTAGAAGATCTCTCAGACCTCAGGAAGCCCACACGAACCCCAGGGGACATAGCAGATACACAAAAAGAGCTAGCAGGTAGTGCCAAAAGCATGAAAGAATTTAAGGAAGCTCCAGAACAGAAATTGGATTCATCAGAAAATGTACCTGGAAGCAGAAGGAGGTCGAGAACACCCAGGAGGAAGGCCCAACCCATAGAAGACCTGACGGGCTTCAGAGAGCTCTTTCAAACACCAAGTCACATTGTGGAAACAGTGACTAATGACAAAACCACCAAAACACCCGGCAAATCTCCAAAACCAGAACCAGTCAGCACACCAACCAGCACAAAGAGACGTTTCAGGTCACCTGTGGGGAAAGTCGACATGGAAGAAGAGCTCTCAGCACTCAGGAAGCCAACACCAAGGCCAGGGGAAACCACACATTCATGTCGAGCACCAATAAATGATGATAAGGATATCAAAGCATTTAAAGAAACTCCAAAGCAGAAACTAGACTCAGCAGGCAATATAATTGGGAGCAGAAGGTCAAGAACACCCATTGGGAAGGTTCAACCCATTGAAGACTTGGTTGGCTTCAGAGAGCTTTTCCAAACACCAGATCATACGATGGAATCATTGAGTGAGGACAAAACCAGCAAAACACCCTCCAAATCTCCAAAACCAGAACCACTCAGCATGCCAACCAGCACGAAGAGACGTTTCAGAACACCTGTGGGGAAAGTGGACACGGAGGATGAAAGTGCCGAATTCTTTAAGGAAATTCCAGAACAGAAACTGGATTCTGCAAAATATGCAGCTGGGAGCAGGAGGAGATCGAGAATACCCAGGAGGAAGGTCCAACCCATAGAAGACCTGGCTGGCTTCAAAGAGCTCTTCCAAACACCAGATCACATCCTAGGAACAGTGACTGACGATAAAATAACTAAAACATTGTGCAAATCTCCAAAATCTGAACCAGTCAGCACACCAACCAGCTCAAAGAGACGTTCCAGGACACCTCTGGGGAACGTGGACGTGCAGGAAGCGCTCTCAGCTCTCAGGAAGCCAACACCGAGACCGGGGGAAAGCACACACGCACACAGGGCACCAGAAAGTGATGATAAAAGTGCCAAGTTCTTTGAGGAAATTCTAAACCAGGAACTGGATTCAGCAGAAAATGTAACTGGAAGCAGGAGGAGGTCAAGAACACCCAGGAGGAAGGTCCAACCCATAGAAGACTTGGTTGGCTTCAAAGAGCTCTTCCAAACACCAGATCATATCATAGGAGCAGTGACTGATGATAAAATAATTAAAACATCATGCAAATCTCCAAAATCAGAACTAATCAGCACACCAATCAGCACAAAGAGACGTTCTAGGATACTGCTGGGGAAAGTAGACATAGAGGATGAGCTCTCAGCACTCAGGAAGGCAACACCGAGACCAGGGGAAACCACACACTCCCACAGAGAACCAGAAGGTGATGATAAAGGTATCACAGCATTTAAGGAAACTCCAGAACAGAAACCAGACTCAGCAGAAAATGTAACTGGAAGCAGGAGGAGGTCAAGAACACCCAGGAGGAAGGTCCAACCCATAGAAGACCTGGCTGGCTTCAAAGAACTCTTCCAAACTCCAGATCACACAGTAGAACCAATGACTGATGACAAAACCAAAACACCGTGTAACTCTCCACAACCAGAACCAGTCAGCACTCCCACCAGCATGACAAGACGACTCGGGACCCCTGTGGGGAAAATGGATGTGGAGAAAGAGCTCTCAGCTCTCAGGAAGCCAACATCGGGGGAAACCACACACTCCCACAGAGAACCAGAAGGAGCTAAAGGTATCACAGCATTTAAGGAAGCTCCAGAACAGAAACTGGATTCTGCAAAATATGTAACTGGAAGCGGGAGGAGATCGAGAACACCCAGGAGGAAGGTCCAACCCATGGAAGACCTGGTTGGCTTCAAAGAGCTCTTCCAAACACCAGATCATATAGAAACAGTGACTGATGACAAAACCACCAAAATGCCCTGCAAATCTCCAAAATCAGAACTAATCAGCACACCAACCAGCACAAAGAGACGTTCCAGGACACCTCTGGGGAAAGTGGACGTGCAGGAAGCGCTCTCAGCACTCAGGAAGGCAACACCGAGACCAGGGGAAACCACATACTCCCACAGAGAACCAGAAGGTGATGATAAAGGTATCACAGCATTTAAGGAAACTCCAGAACAGAAACCAGACTCAGCAGAAAATGTAACTGAAAGCAGGAGGAGGTCAAGAACACCCAGGAGGAAGGTCCAACCCATAGACCTGGCTGGCTTCAAAGAGCTCTTCCAAACTCCAGATCACACAGTAGAACCAATGACTGATGACAAAACCAAAACGCCGTGTAACTCTCCACAACCAGAACCAGTCAGCACTCCCACCAGCATGACAAGACGACTCGGGACCCCTGTGGGGAAAATGGATGTGGAGGAAGAGCTCTCAGCTCTCAGGAAGCCAACATCGGGGGAAACCACACACTCCCACAGAGAACCAGAAGGAGCTGAAGGTATCACAGCATTTAAGGAAGCTCCAGAACAGAAGCCAGACTCGGCAGAAAATATAATTGGGAGCAGGAGGAGGTCAAGAACACCCAAGAGAAAGGTTCAACCCATAGAAGACTTGGTTGGTTTCAAGGAGCTCTTCCAAACACCAGATCACATCCTGGAATCATCGGCCGATGACAAAACCACCAAAATACCTTGCAAATCTCAAAACCCAGAACCAGTCATCATGCTAACAGGCAGAAACAGACGTGTGAAGGCACCTCGAGGCAAAGTGGTTGTAGAAGATGAGCTCCCGGCACTCAGAAGGCCCACACGCACGCTGGGGAAAACCACAAGGCCCCACAGAGCTCCAGAGGCTGCTGACGAAGATACCAAAGTGTTGGGGGAAATCCCAGAAGAGAAATCAGATCCTGCAGAAAATGCAACTGGAAGCAAGAGGAGGCCGAGAACACGTAAGGAAAAGGCCCAGCCCATGGAAGACCTGGCCGGCCTCAAAGACGAACCAGAGACTGTTGTCCAAACCACTGAAATGCCCTCCAGATCTCCACAGCCAGAAGCAGTCCTGCCAGCGCGCAGGAAGAGGCAGGTCAGGGCGCCTCCCAGGAAGGTGGATATGGAGGAAGAGCCCTCAGCACCCAGGAAGTCCACACGGACAGCAAGAGCCACAACGTCCCACAGAGCTCCAGAGGCTGCTGATGAAGACACCAAACTGTTGGAGGAAATTCCAGAAGAGAAATCAGATCCTATAGAAAATGTAACTGGAGGCAAGAGGAGGCCACGGGCACGTAAGGAAAAGGCCCAGCCCCTGGAAGACCTGGCCGGCCTCAAAGAGCCCCTCCACACATCATGTCACACAGAAGAACCAGAGACTCTTGTCCAAACCACTGACGTGCCCTCCGAAGCTCCACAGGCAGAAGCAGTCCTGCCAGCGCGCAGGAAGAGGCAGGTCAGGGCGCCTCCCAGGAAGGCGGACGAGGGGGAAAAGCTCTCAGCTCCCAAGAAGCCCACACGGACATCGGCGAGAGCCACGAGGTCCCACAGAGCTCCAGAGGCTGCTGCAGAAGATACCAAGCTGTTGGAGGAAATTCCAGAAGAGAAATCGGATCCTGCAGAAAATGCAACTGGAAGCAAGAGGAGGCCAAGGGCACGTAAGGAAAAGGCCCAGCCCCTGGAAGACCTGGCCGGCCTCAAAGACGAACCAGAGACTGTTGTCCAAACCACTGAAGAGCCCTCCAAGTCTCCGCAGCCAGAGGCAGTCGTGCCAGCGCGCAGGAGGAGGCAGCTCAGGGCGCCGCCCAGGAAGGCGGACGTGGAGGAAGAGCTCTCCGCTCCCCGGACATCAGGGAAAACCACGCGGTCCCGCAGAGAACCCGCAGACGTCACAGTGTTCAAGGCGTCTCCAAGGCAGGAACCGGGTCCTGCGGCAGACACGGCGGGCAGCAAACGCCAGCTGAGATCACGGAAGGGAAGGGCCCAGCCCCCGGAAGGCCCAGCCCGCCGCCAACCACTCCCGAGAAGCCCAGGTCAAGACGAGGAGCCAGACGTAGGAGCTGAGGACAAACCTGCCAAACCCAGAAGAGTCCTCTGGGCCCCGGACGTGAAGCCCGTGGAAGGCCAGGCGGGCCGCAGAGACCCTGTAACACCCCCAGGGGGGGGCGGCGTTCCCCTGGCCCCCAAGAGGAAGCGTGAAGATGGAAGTCCCACCAGAACGAGGGGGCTGCGCACCAGCGCTCGAGCACAGGACCCAGTGGAGGAGAAGCCAGCACCAAAGCGGCAGCGGACGGCTCCCCAGGAGAGGCGAGAGCCGCCGGAACCCCTGGGCGCGAAGAGGAGGCGGGGAGCTGTGGCAGACAGCACGGAAGACGTGCCCGGCGAGGACCTGGGAACGAAGGCGAGGGGCAGGAGAGCGCCCGTGGCGACCTCCGCGGGCAAGGTGAGGATGGGGCTGCACTGTGATTGGTGGGTGCTCCGGGCTGGGGTGGGGGGGCGTTCTCCATCTCCGCATCATTGGTAGATCGTAAGGAACCTGAACTGATGTGGGTGCTCCTTCCCGAAGGGGTCTGCCCTCTGTGCTGAGTCACTGTGGGCCCAGCCCAGAATCCTTTGGGCTTCTCTAGAGAGACCAGGCTGATTTGGGAGAAACAGAGCTAAAATGACTACTGGAGGTTTTGACATAATTTTCTCAGGAACTGAATGAGTTGTGTTCATCCTCAAAGAGTAGAGAGAGAGCCCCGACCGGTTTGGCTCAGTGGATAGAGCATCGGCCTGCGGACTTAAGAGTCTCAAGTTCAATTCCCGGTCTAGGGCATGTACGTCCCCCTTAGGGGGTGTGCAGAAGGCAGCTGATCAATCTCTCTCATCGATGTTTCTAACTCTCTATCCCTCTCCCTTCCTCTCCGTAAAAAATCAATAAAATATATTAAGAAAACAAATAAAAGGGGTGTAGAGAGAAGGGAACAGCACAGCCTGTTCAGAACCCACAGCCAGGGGCGTGGGCCCTGACCAGTTAGAACCCTGTCCGGGAAGGGCGTCCTCAGTGGAATGTCACTTTTCAGCAGAGCGCTCACTCCCCGGGGAGAGGAGGCTGGGAACTTCAGGAGCCGGTCTCCCGGCTCTGGGTTGGCAGTCCATGCAGCCGAGGGAGTTCACCCACTGCCCGTGTCAGAGGCGTCTTCCTGTGATGCCCTGTGATGCTTGTCCCAGACTTCACATGTATGACACTGGTGGAGCTCCACACCGCTCCCTTCTAGTGGTCTGCTAGAGGCGGTGACTTCTCCCCAGGAGAAGCGGTGACTGCATTTTAGAAGGTGAACCGTGTAAGACGTTCAGATGAGTTTCCCTCTGCGTTCAGTTTGGGGGTTTTTTTTCTCCATGTTGGATTTTCAGATTGGCATCACGCGTTCTCGGCATTTTGTGGGTGTCTTTTTAGGAAGTGTCCCTGCGTTCCAGACTCCCAGCTAAAACCAGCGGCGCTGAGCAGACACCTGGCGTGCCGGGAACAGCAGGAGCGGGGAAGACCAAGAGGAGTGGGAGGAAGCCCGCGCCCGCCTCCCCGGAGGCGAAGGGTCACAGCCCAGAGGATGGAGCCGGGAGCTCTGCGTCTGGGGACGCGGTCCGTGAGAGGAGAACGTGCCCGCGACGGGGGAGGGCGCCCGAGCCCAGCACGGCCGGGGAGAAAGCCGGGCAGACGCGTGAGGAGGCCCCCAGGAAGGCTCAGGAAGAGGCGGAAGGAGCCCGGCCTGCAGGCCTCACACAGCGGAGGGCCAGGACGGTGACGGTCCCTCCCGCCGGGGACACTGCGGAGAGTCAGCCCCAACCGAGAGCCACGCGGAGCGCCAAGAGGCCAGCGGGAGAGGCGAGGCAGGCAAGTCGTTTACCGTTTCCCTTTTTAAACGATTTACTTTATTACTATTTTTAAAATAATATATTTTATTGATGTTTTATAGAGAGGAAGGGAGAGAGAGAGAGAGCTAGAAACGTCGACGAGCCGCCTCCTGCACACCCCCGACTGGGGATGTGCTCGCAACCCAGGTACATGCCCTTGACCGGAATCGAATCTGGGACCCTTCAGTCCGCAGACCAACACTCTGCCACTGAGCCAAACCGGTTTCGGCTTTATTACTATTTTTTAATAGTTTTCTTTTTGTTGTTGTTGTTGTTTCTAATCCTCACTCGAGGATGTTTTTCCCATTGGTTTTTCAAAGAGTGGAAAGAGTTGGAGGAGAGAGAAACATTGGTGTGAGAGAGGCAACATTGATTGGTTATCTCCAGCACGTGCCTCAGCCAGGGCGAGGATAGAACTTGCAGCCCAGGTCCATGCCCTTACCTGGAATTGAACCCACAACCTTTCTGTGAGTAGCCTGGTGCTCTAAGCCTGAGCCATGCCGGCCGGGGCACTGTTTCGCTTTTGAACGAGCGTAGAATGTTCCTGTAGCAAAAGCAGACCCACACGCTGCTGCGATCGCAGGCTCCCAGGCCCACAGCACAGAAGCGCGGGCGCAAAGCAGCGTCTGTCTCTGTGGCCGTGGTCAGTGCTGTCCGTCCTGGAGTTCCGGTGTCCGCAGCGAATTCACGTTCTGAAGTCCTGGGTCAGGAGCGGGACCTTATCCGGCTAGTGCCTCCTGCGGCTCCTTGCACACCTGGCGCTGGCATCACCAGTGGTCTCCAGGCTCCCGAGGTCAGGGACTCGCCAAGGCCCAGAGGGGGCCCTGTGTGGTCCCCGAGGGGTTCCTTTGGAAAGCTAGAATGACCACGTGGGTGTGTCCCCCAAGGCACCTCTCCTCTCAGGAGTCCCGGTCAGTAGGGACGGAGGGCAGGCGCCCCCTACGTTAATGGACGTTGAGTGCCCACGGCCTTCAGTCTCACGGGCCGAGAGCTGTCCGCACTGGATTAAACCCACCAAGCAGGATTGCACCCGGTCAGCATTCCTCTGGGGCCGTGGTCGGCAAACTGCAGCTTGAGAGCCACCTGCAGCTCTTTGGTCCCTTGAGTGTGGCTCTTCCACAAAATACCACGGCCTGGGCAAGTCTATGTTGAAGAAATGGTGTTAGAAGTTTACGTTTAAAAAATGTGGCTCTCAAATTTCAATCGTTGTCCTGTTGATATTTGGCTCTGTTGACGAATGAGTTTGCAGACCATTGCTCCAGGGAATCCTGCAATTTGCTGGGTTCAAAGAACAGGCTGAGAGGCCCCCTTTCTATGAGGGGCACACATTTGCTTCCCAGGATGCAGTTAGAGACCGGGCAGTGTCAGCGGGAACCTCCTGCTTGACCAGAGGCTGTCGGGTCTGGTGCCCGCTGCAAAGGCCCTGTTACGGGTCCATCCACGTCCAGGATGGCATCCAATGCCCCTGCCCCTTAGAGTCACGAGGGTGCAGACACAGAACAGCTGATGTCAGCAGAGACTCAGAGACGGATCCGGTCACAGTTGTTTTATGGAAAATAATACAATAATCACTTATAATACAAGCGCCTTGTTTCCCGTACTCACTGCTGCAAACCTGCATTTTGCCCCCAACCCTGGATTTTAAAATTGTCTCCAACCTCCACATCCCTCTGGAAAGGGTCACGGGGTGGGGGGAGACTCATAGAGCCGAGCTGGGTACAGAAGTCCTCGCTTTAAGTGACTCCAGTTGCATTTTCTTCCCAAACAGGAAGACGACGACACGAATGTCAAGAAGATAAGGACCCGCAGTCGCCGGGGCCGTGAAGATGTTTAGCTCAGACGTTGGGGGGGAGGGGGAGGGAGGGTGGAAGGTAGTTTAGTGATAAGTTCTAGAACAACGTTTGCTGTGAATTTAAACGTGGCTTCTGTAAATAATGCTCTCCGGGTGCGTAAGGGAAAAAAGCTTTTAAAATTTTTCTGATTCTCCACAGTCTATTCAAAAACCCTGCGAGGAGTTATGAAAGAGGGACTCCTGGGTCCCCAGAAATAGCAATTTGAGCCAAGCTGTCCTCTCCAGCTTTGCCAATGCAGCCCTGGAACCGGCCTCCGGGTCAGCACGCTCCTGGGCTCAGCACTTGCGCTGTAAATGCTTCTGTGTTTGTCTGTGTCCCCTCAGGACCCCAAAGGCAGGGCCCTCGGGAGGCGAGAGGAAGGGACAGTGCAGAATCCGGTGCTCACAGGTCTGTCCTCACAGTGCAAGGCTGTGGTCCCTGCGCCGGGGCTGTCTGCACAGGACAGGCTGGTCCGGGACTCCAGTCACTCAGGGAATGCACGTGACCCCGAGGGCAGCCTGTGACCCCCCTCTTCGGGTTCAGGAGTCAGGACACCGAGGGGCTGACCAGTGGCGTGCCTTTTTCATCTGATATTTGCCTAAACCGACTGCGCTCCTCTGAGAAGGCCCCGTCCACCCTCCCGTTGGCCAGGGGCCCGTTCTCAGTGCCAACACCTCTTAGCTCTGGTGTCAGGCTCCTAGACAAAACGACCGAGTCTGAGAGTCTCACGTCAGCAGAAAAGGTTACAGTTTTCTGAGCTTCTGCTGGCCCCGGTCCTGTCTGTGCTTTTTCTGGCTGCACCTGTCATCGGCCTCCTGGGTGCCCTGCACCCACCGGGGACAGGAAGCAACATGAGTCCCAAACGCAAGGCCATTTCTGAGGGCGGCAGGCACCAGGGCCCCTCCCCAAGGGCCCAGCTCTCAGTGGAGGCCATACCTCCCAGTTGCACGTCCAGCCCAGACTTCCTTCCGTTTCAGGCTTAGACCTGCATCTAACTGATGGCATTTCTGTTTTTATGATCCTCTGTGTCCTCCTGTCCCTCTGTGTTCTCTAGGCAGAAAATAGCACATCTTCTGCCCAGTCACCTGTGTGGACGCCCCCCAGGCCCCAGCCTTGCCAGGCTGAGGTGAGGATGGAAGATGAGGTGGCTGTCTGTGCCCTCCTGTCCTCTGTGTCTGGCGTGGAGTCAGGTTCTTATAAAAATAAACTTTTGTTAATTAATTGAGGCGTCTGTCTCCGTCATGCTTTTGGCGCTGCCGTGGTGCGGTGGTGGGCGGAATTCAGGCCCTAAGGGCGGGAAGGTTGAGGGAAGGCAGGGGAGGGGGCCTGGAAGAGGAGGAGCAGCGTGCAAGCAGAAAGGACAGCCTAGCTGGTTTGGCTCAGCAGACAGAGCACTGGCCTGTGGATTGAAGGGTCCCGGGTTCAATTCCTGTCAAGAGCACATGTCCAGGTTGCAGGCTCCATCCCCAGTAGGTGGCATGCAGGAAGCAGTTAATCAGTGATTCTCATCATTGATGTTTCAATCTCTCTCCCTCTCCCTTCCTGACTGAAATCAATGAAAATATGTTTTAAATAAATAAAGAGAAAAAAATAAGAAAGGACAGTATCGGGCCTCATCAGAAAGGGGCTTGACTGGATGGTGTGAGTCATAAATGTGAATTCAGGGAGGCCACGTTCAAGAAAATGGGAAATAATAACAGGACTTTTCTTTGATTAGGTGGTTCATGAGCTCGCATATAGAAAGTTTCAATTAGCTGTGTGCCTTGGGAATGGAATATACTGATTGATGAAGAAAACAGTAATTAACAAAAAATTAAACATGGGACTGCTACTTGACCCAGTGATCCTACTTGTAGGAATACATCCTAAGAAACCCAAAACACCCATCAGAAAGAATGTATGTACCCCTATGTTCATAGCACAATTTACAATAGCTAAGATGCCCATCACAGACAAGTAGATAAAAAAAAAAAAAAAAAAAAAAATCTAGTACATTTACACCATGGAATACTATGCAGCTGTAAAAAAAAAAAATCTTTTTACCCTTTGAGACACAATGGAGGGACCTGGAGAGTATTATGCCAAGTAAAATAAGCCAATTTAGAAAATCAAGTACCACATGATCTTATGTGGAATCTAAAAGACTACAATGAACCATTGAGCAAAATAGATCCAGGGACATAGCAGCATGGAACAGTAATCTCAGGGAAGGTGGGAAGAAAATTAACCAAGTAACTTAGGTGCATAAATGCCCAACCCATGGACATGGCAGTGTGTGCGGGGGTGGGGTAGAGGGTGTCAATGGGGGGGGGGATATCTGTAATACTTTCAACATTAAGATAAATTTAAAAACAACCCTTTTGGGTTTAATTCTGACCACAAATCTCAAGGAAATAAATGAGCCCACTTTCCCACCTTCATAAGCACAGTATTTCCAGAGTGTAGCCAGCCAGGGTTGTGGGTCTGGATGAGAAAACACGCACAGTGCAGTGCGCATCCTACACTTCACACGGTGGGGAGGGGTGTGTGTGTGTGTATGTGGGGAGTTACCCTTGGTGGGTAGGGGGATTACATAATCATCCCAGGCTAAGGCTGAGGGCAGGTTGCAGGGAGTGCACCCCACTCACTCGGTCTGGACTGTCAGCCTGCGATTCCAGGTGAGGAGCCCCCTGCCCTGGAGGAAATAGAATGTCTCCCCGCTTCCCATCATGCTCCGGAGGGCCTGTCTGGCACAGTCTGCTCAAAGCACCAGCCCGCGCTTGCCTTTAGGCCAGACCCGCCCAGCACACACATACTTGCACACATACACATGCACATGACACGTGTGTGCACACCCCTCCTGAGGCTGCGGCTCACTGGTTGGAATGACTGACGTGGCCTGCTGGAAGCCAATTCCACCACGTCATAATTACAAGAGTTTTATCAAACGGTTGATGAACAAGGGGGCTCAACAAGGGCTGAGTCACATATGTAATCACCTGTTGGAGTGGCTAAAAGGCACTTCGCCCAAACCTGAATAGCATGATTGATTGCTGCTAGACAGCTCAGGGCTTCTCAACCTACATATTGTTGCCTCCTGTTGGCCAAACACCTGAACAGCTGTGGGCTATTCCCCAATCTGACAATGCTTCTGTAAACCATACCCTTTGAAGTGCATTATTTCCACCTCATCTTGGGACAAATTGTGTTAATAAAAAGCAGGGGTTCCGAGACAAGAACTAAGAACTTAGAACTTTAGCTCCTGTAGCTGCAGCTCCTCTGACCCCCCAATGCTTTGCAAAATTATCTTTCGTCTCTGGACTCTGATTTAATCTACGCACAGCCTTTCTCCAGATTGCTGCACCCTTTTAATGCTGGGACAGGAACCCCGGCATTAGTGGTGGCTCGTACGGGGACTTCCTGAACTCTTGCAATACCGGCATGGCCCGAGGCCCCTCCCTGTCCACACCTCAGGGCCTGTCTGTGCCTCTTCCTCCAAGTGGACTCAGCCCAGGGAAGGGCCTGCCCCCCACCTTAGAGCAGGAGGGAGGGCCACTGCCATAGGGGACCCGTCACAGACAGTGCAGGCAGACCCCCGAGGAACACCCAGGAGAGCCAACGGCGCTTCCCTGCAGGTGACTTTGATTGGAGACGGGACTATACGGTTTCAAGTCCTTTTGGCAAACTTAAGAGTCATGAATTTTATGAAATACAGCGAGTAATAAAAAGCATCTGCTCAGATCCCAAGTGGGTCTAGAATGCTGAAAGGAAGCTGGGGTGGTGGTGGGGTGGTGGCAGGGAGGGAGGCGAGATGGGCGAGGTGGGTGAGGTGGAGAGAGCTGGGCACAGCCAGAGCCCTGAGGGCGGCAGAGGGCGCTGGTGAGGCTTCGGTTTAAGGAGAAAAAGCAACATCCAGGCTTTCTGAGTCCACCTAGCTGTGGCCTTGATGCTTCTGTCATCACCCTTGTTGACCTGAGCACCATCGCTGCTCAGAGCTCAGACTCCTGCCCGGACCCCAGCAAAAGCACGGGCTCCTGACGGCGAGTGATGGCGTGTTTCCTGCCTGCACACTCAGGCCTGAGGACCAGCTGAGCGCTGGGCCAAGCTCTGGCCACGGTGCCCCCACGCCCACCGTGCCCCCATGCCCCCCACGTCGGAGGGGTTGCTCCTAGCGGAGTCACAGAAGCCCTAGAGTCAGCGATCTAGAAAAAACGAGACGCAGGCTGGAAGTCAAAGCAAAGATTTATCCTCGCATCGGAATGCTCCCCACCTTGCAAGTTGCAGGTACAAAGAGGTCAGCAACATTCAGTGGCGTCAGAACGAGATCAAATGACAAACGTGATACAAGGAAGCCAGGCGGCTGACGCCGGGGTACACACATAGGAAGATTGCACATGAATGGAACACGACGTAGGTACACAGAAGTATCAGTAGGCAGACATTAAAAAAATAGTGTGGGCACGGATGCCAGGCTCATAGTAAAAGTTTTTAAAAACACGTAAAAAATACCCCCTGGGACCCCGGCGGTCTGCATCCTTCGTCGGCACGGGGAGAGTAAGTCAGTCACACGGTGACCAAAGCGCAGTCAGAACCAGACCTCGGGTCGATTTGGCATTTGAATTCAGCTGCGCGCAGCACAGGAGAACGGGGCCCGGAGGACGCCGGGGACCGGGTTGGCGGCGCCCGCGTGGACAGGGGCCTCCTGTGACCGAAGCGGCAGTTCCCGTGTAGCCGCACAGACAGGCGGCGAGTCCCGAGGGCTCCCAGACCGCTGCCCGGGGCCAGCTGGCTGCATGACAGGGGCCCCGGGAAGGCAGGCGCGGGCTGCCCCCCGCTGGGAGGGGCCTGTGCCCAAGGGACAGTGGCTTCTGCCTTGTTTCTGGGACTGGAAGGACCAAAGGGGGGCCTGGGACACCTGCAGGGCACACCGGGATGGCACACCCATGGGGTCCTCTCCCGAGGCCGCCCTGAAGAGGGCTCCGTCTCCTCGCAGGAGGTGCCAGGGAGCCCACGGAGGGTGGAGGAAGCCGAGGGAGGCTCCTCGATTTGGCCCCAAATCGGTGCCCTCCCACGTGGGCCCCTCAAGCAAATGCCACGCCGCCGGCATCACAGGCTCCAGTTCTAGGGTCAGTGCTGAGCCAGAGCCCCGGCCTCTTCCCTTCCATCAAAGGAAGGCTCTGGGCTCGGGCTTCAACAACGAAGACCAATGGCCTGCCTGGCAGAGAGCTCCCTGCGTCTCCCTCCGGGCCCAGGTGCGGTCCGGGTACGAGAGGGGCGGGCGGCGGGCGGCATGTGCGGTGTGCACGGCCAGGGCTGTGGCGGCGGAGCGGCAGCCCTCACCGAGGTGTGCTTCTGTCTTCCCAGCGGGGCACCGCACTGCCCGGGGGTGGGGCTCAGGGGAGAGGCAGGTACCTGGTCACCTGTGGGCCTGTGCTTCGAACCCGGCCCTGCCCAGGGCCTGGTGCTCACTGGCACGGACACAGCCGTGGGCCTGTGCTTCGAACCCGGCCCAGCCCGGTGCACGGTGCTCAGGCAGTGAACACAGGACAACGTGCAATCCACTCACGGGACTGTCACACGAGGCGTTGAGACGTCCTTTAAAAAGCAACGGGCGAACCACAAACCACAGGTGGGCTGCTTCCCGTCGGTGAGACCAGGTGTGTGAGGTTGTGCTCACCGGCCAGGCCCCAGGCGGCCAGAGGAAGACCACGCCTTCCAAATTACACTTGTCTACGTCCACCCACCCTTTGTTAACCCCCTAAGCCAGTCCTGTCCGGCAGGGGATCGTGATCACCCTGTGTCCCAGGTCTCCCCAGAATTTCCATCCAAAAATACGCTAGCCTCTCTATTCCCTAACGAAACACTGCGGAGGGTGCGGGGCTGATAAAAAACGGTATAAATCTAGACTTAGGGTTTCTTTTCTTACAAACAGTCTCTGTTTTTACAAGGGGTGTTAACGTACCGAAATGCTTCTCCGAAAGTTTAAAGCATCGTTACCTGGGTCTCCTGCTCCTTCTAGCAAGCGCGTGCTCCTGGCTCCCGTGGGCGCCGGGCGACGGTCTGAGCTGGGGCCCTGGGAGGCCTCCTGCCCACGCTGCCAGCTGCGGCCAATGGGAAAGGCCTGAGAAACCCATTCACCTGCGTCACACACGTGGCGGCAGGGGGCGCTGTGGGAGCACAGCTCGGAAGGCTGCTTTGGCTGCATCCAAAGCCATGGGCTAACGGAACTGAGCACCTGGGTCTTCTCCTGTCATCTGGCCCCGGGGCCCGGACACAGCCCGGGACACAGGCATGTGCAGGTCTCACTGCACAGGCACAGCCTTCCGGGGTCTTTAAATTGTCAAAGGGAAACCACGTGGGTGGAGACAGAGGACTTGAGTTTGTCTTCCCAAAAAACTCTGGGCTCAGGGCTGTCCAATCAGCGTTAAGAAAGCGAATTTCCAGCTGATTTCTGACATTTTTTTTTTGGCATTTTGCACACGTGGCCTATGATGGTTTATAACATGTAGAGGTGCTGCATGTGAGGAATGAAATGATGTGAATCTAATGAGAAATTAAAATATTTACTGGCATTAGCGAAATATATACTTTATGGAACATTCTCTGACCTTAATACATTATTCCAGTTTTTAAAAGGGGGCCTTTTTAAGACATAACAACTCTATGGCAGGTAGCCTTCAAAGCATAACAGGACATATATATATATATATATATATATATATACACACAAAGACATTAGAAAGGATATTAATGTCAACTATGAAATAAATTAACATGGTTTCCTTTTTTTTTTTTTTTTTTACAAAATATACTGACCATTAAATTAAAAAATATCTTAAGGCAGGAGTCCTCATTTGAAATTAGCATAATCAGAAAATATATCAATAAAATCTTGTACCACTTTGTAGCAGAATTCATACTGTTCCTGAAAAAGAAAACCAAGAATACATTAAAATGATATTAAAAAAACACAAAACACTGGAGGCAAACCATAATGGTTCTGCATAACCATTATGGCTTGTCTCAGTTTAGGTTCTTACAAGGGTATTTCTTGGATCACAGGATCTCACTCCTCTAGAGGAAATAATGAACAACATAAACTGATGGACAAAAACAGACCCAGAGAAAGAGAAGCAGCGATCAGACTCTCAAACCTCAGAGGGAAGGCAGGGGAGGGTAAAGGTAAGGGGAAGAGATCAACCAAAGGACTTGTGTGCATACTTATGGGCCTGGCCAGTGGCCAGGGACAACAGGGGGGTGGGGGCATGTGTAGGGAGAGGTTTGGGATGGGAATGGGGGATGAGGACAATTATGTGAGACCATCATCAATAAAAAAAATAAAAAAAGAAAGAAAAAAAATTGGAATAATTAGGAGAAGCATTCAGAAAGGAGACACGCAGCAGCCTAGGTGTGGAATACCCAGCCCCTCAGGCACACAGCTCCGGCATGCAGTCAGTGTTCAGGCGCAGGGGGCCCCGGGGAGGCCGTTCCCCACACAGAGAAGGTCAAGGCCTCTCGGTCCCGGCGCCCTCACCTGGGTCTGCACACCCCTCCGTCCGCACCCTCAACTGGGTCTGCACACCCCTCGCCCGCGCCCTCACCTGGGTCTGCACACCCCTCCGCCCGCACCCTCACCTGGGTCTGCACACCCCTCCACCCGCACCCTCACCTGGGTCTGCACACCCCTCCGCCCGCGCCCTCACCTGGGTCTGCACCATGTGCGGCCGCTGCAGGCGCAGGCTCTTCACCGCCTGGAACACGTCCAGCAGCCCCTCGGCCTTCACGCGCTCCAGGATGTTGCTGAGCGCGATGAACGTCCCGGTGCGACCCGCCCCGGCGCTGCAGGGGGGGGAGGGGGGGAGAGAGGCTTCAGGCGGGGCTGCCGCCTGGGCGGTGGGGGGGGGGCAGTGGGGAGGGGAGGCAATGGGACGGGCCACCCACACATCGCTGCTGCGGCCATGGTGGGGAGGATGGACTGTGACTTTTCTGTATTTCAGAGAGGAAGGGGGAGAGGGAAACGGCAGTGATGGATCACCCATGGGCTGCCTCCTGCACAGCCTGTACCGGGGATCGCCCGCCGGCAACCGGGGCGAGGGCTCTTTTCATGCAGGAGCGGGTCTCTGAGCTGTGCTGGGGCTTCTTCCATGGCTTCCGAGGCACAGGCAGGGTGTGTTTGCGTAGGATCCTAACCCCGCCCGCAAAACGCATCTATGTGGCATCTATGTAAAGGGGCGTGTGCATGCCAGCAGGAGGAGGTGAGGGTGGGAGATGCAGCCCGAGACATTCCGCGCTGGAAGCCGGGAGGGCGGCGCGCGGCCAGCAGGGGGCGCTCACCTGCAGTGCACGGTGATGGGGTGGTTGCCGGTTTGCTGCTGCTGCTTCTGCACGGCAGCGATGAGGTCGATCATGCCCTTGCCCTCGGCCGGGATGCCCACCTCGGGCCAGCCGTGGAAGTGGAACTGGCGGACTGCGCGGGTCTGATCCCCCTGGCGGGCCAGGGGCTGTGGGGGGGAGGCATCTCAGTGGCGCTGCCCGCCCGGGGGAGGCCCCAGGCCACCTGCCCCGGGCCTCAGGCACCGCAGGCCTCCCTGAGGGTTCGGTGGGGCTGTGTCCACTGTGGTCACCCAGGGGCAGGCTGGCCGCGCTTCCTTCATCTGGGAAGCAGGACGTGCAGAGGCGTCCCGGAGCCCCTGGCCGAGGTGCCTGAGGCCAGGCCAGCTCTGTCCCCGAGCCCCTGCCGCGGTGCCTGAGGCCAGGCCAGATCACGGGGCTCTGACCTCCATGGGGGGGGGGGGGCTCTGAGCTCCCCGTGGGGCTCCAGAAAGGGCGGGAGGAGCCTCGACAGGCGGACCCCGAGGGCAGGCGCAGTACCTGGTTGCAGGTGACCAGGAAGTCCCGGACGCTGAAGGCTTCGGAGAGGGTGTCGCTCTTGATCTCGATGATGATGTCGCCGTGCGTCACGGAGCCCTCCGCCGGCCAGTACTGGTAGCACTTGTCCTGGGGGGGACAGAATGTGAGCCTCCTAATGACCAGCTGGCTGCCAGCGTTTTAACTCCGTGATGCAGGACTGCTCTCCAGGTTTACCATCGTTTTTGAATTTCTATTTAATATAATGGTTTGGTGAGTGAGCACAGGGTCTGCTTGGAAACAAAATCACAGCATACAGAGCAGAGTGTTTCCATTTAACATGCTTTGTCTGGAAGGAAGGAAGGAAGGAAGGAAGGAAGGGAGGGAGGAAAGGAGGGGCGAAGGGAGGGTAGAATGAGACCTTTTGTAGCGCCAGCCCCTCTCGGTGGCTGTGGCTGGGCCTCCCCTTGGAGAGCAGGTGATCTGCAGTGAGCCCTGGCACCGGGTGGGCACCGGCTGGGCCGGCCGGCAGCCTCACCTGCTCTCGCTCCTGCACCTCGGTGAGCATCACGATGGTGTGGCAGCGCCACTCCCACACCATCCGCCAGAAGTCCTCCACCGTGTGCGCCAGCGGCCCCTGCGTGGCGATGAAGTAGTCCTTCTGCCGGTAGCCCTGCGGAGCAGAGGGCCCGGTTACCGCTGACTCCCCCTCGCTGCACCGGGGCCAGACCGGACTCCACCGGGACAGCCGGACCCCGCACGGCGGGGGCCAGACCGGACTCCACAAGGACCAGCCGGACCCTGCACGGCGGGGGCCAGACCGGACTCCACCGGGACCAGCCGGACCCTGCACGGCGGGGGCCAGACCGGACTCCACCGGGACCAGCCGGACCCTGCACGGCGGGGGCCAGACCGCACGGCGGGGGCCAGACCGGACTCCACCGGGACCAGCCGGACCCTGCACGGCGGGGGCCAGACCGGACTCCACCGGGACCAGCCGGACCCTGCACGGCGGGGGCCAGACCGGACTCCACCGGGACCAGCCGGACCCTGCACGGCGGGGGCCAGACCGGACTCCACAAGGACCAGCCGGACCCCGCACGGCAGGGCCAGAGGGGGCCAGACCGCACGGCGGGGGCCAGACCGGGGCGCCTGAGCCCTCCGCAGACCGGACCGCCACGTGGCTCTCACGGGAAGGCGGACGGCAGTGAGAGCTGGCAAGGGTGGGAGGACCTGGAGCCCTGGCACACGGCAGTGGGAATGGAAAACCAGGCCACTGAATGGCGCCCTTGCCCTGCCCCGCGCCTGCCGCCACCTGGGGGCGCACGGGGGCTTTGACTCTCCGAGCGGCCGGGCGGCCGGTTAAGTCAGCACCGCGGTTGTGCAAAGGACCGGGTGCAGAGTTAGAAAAGGAAAACACAAGACCTCCCTCCCTCCCTCCCTCCCTCCTCCTTCCTTCCCTCCCTCTCCCCTCCTTTCCTCCCTCCCTCCCTCCTCCCTCCCCTTTCCCTCCCTCCCTCCTCCCTCCCTCCTCCCTCCCCCCTCCCTTCCTCCCTCCCTCCCCCCTCCCTCCCTCCCTCCCTCCCCCCTCCCTCCTCCCTCCCTCCCTCCTCCCTCCCCTTTCCCTCCCTCCCTCTTCCCTCCCTCCTCCCTCCCCCCTCCCTCCCTCCCTCTTCCTCCCTCCCCCCTCCCTCTGGGAAGGGCTAGCTACAGCCACGGTTAGAGGAAGTGATTAACCTCCCGGTCCCTCCACGTGGCCCCGGGGACCCTGGCACAGTTTCCCTCTGCCAGCAGACATCCTAGCCCCGTGGTCGGCAAACCGTGGCTCGAGAGCCACAGTGGCTCTCTGGCCCCTTGAGTGTGGCTCTCCCACAAAATGCCACGTGTGGGCGCGCACCCACAGCGCGACTGGAAGGTCCCGGCCCATGCGCAGACGCCGGTGTTCGGCCTGGGCGAGCCTGTTTTGAAGCAGCGGCGTCGGAACACTCCAGGGGCCAAGAGCCGCACGAGGCTCGCGAGCCGCGGTTTGCGGACCGCTGTCCTAGCCGGCCCGGCCCAGCTTCCGCCCGGCGCTGTCCTGCGGGAAGGTGTCCCGGAACCCGGGAGCGTCCGGGCGCGCCGGCCGGGGACAGCGGCGGGGACAGCGGCGGGGAGGGAACCGCCTCACGTGACGGCGAGCGGAAAAGCGCCGAAGGGTCTGGCCGTGGCCGCCGCCTCCTCCCCGCGCTCATCGCCCATCTCCTCTGACAGGAGTCCCGGGGAGGTCTGGGTTTGGGGGCAGGCCCGGCCTCCTGAGGGGCGGGGGCGCACTCACGTCGATGAAGGAGGCGTTGATGTAGTCCGTGTTCTCCTGGCCTCGCTTCATGGACAGGATCACGCGGTTGAAGTCATCTGCAGGCGGCAAGCCCCTGGTCAGCGAGCCCCGTCCACCCTCCGGCCCCACAGACTCGCACTAGTGACATCAGGAAAGCCGCCCGGCCCCGGGTCCCAGGGGTCATGACCTGAGCCCATCCCTATCCGCACAGGAGTGTGCAAACCCCGCGTCTTCGGGGCTGATGGGGGGTGGGCCGGGGGCAGCCCAGACGAGCCGGCGGGGACGTCCCGGCCACAAGGACTCAGCGTCTGAGGCAGGAAGTGAGCCGGGACCGTCGCCATGCACTTCCTGCGCAGTGTGGCCCAGGCGAGCCTGTGCCTGCTGGTGTCCGGGGGGCGGGGGGCGGGGTCCCCGGGAGGGGGGTCTGAAGGACACTCCTCTGCTCGAGGCAGCCCGGCCTCCTGGTCCCTCCGATCATGGAGGCCCAGTGCTCGGCCCCCTCACCCAAGACCCGCAGGCCAGCCTGGCCCTTCTCTTGGAGGGTCTCCGCTGAGCTCCCAGGTCTGCCGCCTGGCCTGGGGGCAGCGCTCCGGCTCTGGGTGATGGTGCCCAGCCTCGCCCAGGCTGGGGAGGCGCATGGAATGCAGAACCGGGAGCCCTGAGTCATGCCCTCGAGGCTGGGAAGTCCCCCTCCCCCAGCTCCGCGCCCACGTCTGCCGCACACGGGCCCGTCAGTGGGTGTTCTCTCCCGGTGGGGCCGGGGAGCCCGAGGCCAGAGGGGACCCTGCCCTGGGCCTGGGTGACAGAGGTGGGAGGTCGTGAACCCTCAGGGCTGGAGCCTCCGGGACCGCCCGCCCGGCCCGCCCGCCCCGCCCGAGCCGGCGGGTACGCGTACACGGGATGATCTGGATGACCCGGGCCTTCTTCATGTTGGCCGGCAGGTTTCCCGTCCGCATGTTCTCCTTCATGATCCGGACGTTCGTCAGCTTCTGCAGCCACAAAGCACCAGCCGCGGTCACTCACTCCCGCTCCTGCCCACCTCAGCCTCCGGGCACCGGGCACCGGGCGCCTCCGGCTCCAGACCCCCGGGGCCTCGGCGGGAAATGCGTGCGGACACTCTCCCTGCCCGCCCGGCTGCTGCCGCCCCGAGAGCCCCACGCCCGCCCCCCGGCGAGTCACGGAGCGCCAGACCCCTCGCCTCCCCCTCGAGCTCTCTGGGCCCCGGAGGCAGCTCCCGCAGCCGCCCCCCTCGGCCGGCCGGCGCCCGCTCACCCGGAACTCCTCCTCCAGCCCGATCCTGTCGAAGTGCGAGGCGGCGCCCTGCAGCGCCTGCAGGTGCCTCTCCAGCGAGGCCACGTCCAGCTCCGTGTCGCCGTACAGGTAGTACTCCAGCAGCGCCTGGTAGATGAACGTGTACTGCACCTGCGGAGGGACGGAACCACGGCCTGGGGTCCGAGCCGCCCAGCGCAGCACAGCCCTCCGGGCCCGAGGAGGCCGGGACACAGTGCGGCTAACGGCTGCGGACGGTGACACTTCAGAGTAAAGATCACAAGCCTGTGCAGGGCCCCCGGCCCCTGGGGGACAGCCACCGCGCAGGGCTGCAGACCTGGACCTGGGGGCGGGGGAGGGAGGGAGGGAGAGGGCGGGCGGGCGGGACTCACGTCCGTCTGCACCATCTGAGGGCGCTGGTTGCGGATTCTCGCCACGAACTCAAAGACGTCCACCTGCTGCTCGGCGTACATCATGTCCATCATGGCGTCGATGACGATGAAGGTGCCCGTCCGGCCCACGCCCGCGCTGCGGGGACAGAGGGCGCCGCCGCACCGTGAGCCACATCCCCCTCACGCCCCCCCAACGAACGACAGGGCCCCAGAGCACGCCCGCCCCCAGGACAGAGGGACAGACCCGCCTTCCCGGGAGGCTGGCCCTCATCACACCCAGCCTCTCCGGTTACAGAAGAGCAAGTCTACGGCGCGGCCACCAGAGGGCGCCGCAATCCTGGCAAAATCATCTGGAAGCTCCTCAGGCTCATGGGAAAGAGCGGCCGTGGGCGGCCCTGCCCGAGGTTGTTGAGATAAGTTTTCCTCGGTTACCAGTCACAGCTGGTGTCACTGGCCTTTTCAAAACGGCCACACTGAGCCCAGCGGGCGAGGCTCAGTTGCCGGGTGTTGACCTCTGAACCAGGAGGTCGCGGCTCCATCCCTGGTCAGGGCTCCATCCCCACTCCCACGACCACCCCTGGCCTGTCGGCTTGTCTGTGGCGACACCGGGGTCCCCTCATGTGCCATGGGAGTCAGGGCTGTGCCCCCACGGAATGCACGGGGTGGGGCCCCTGGGCCGCTGCCCTGTGGCTGTGCTGGTGTTCACATCGCCCACCCGTCTGTGCTAGATCCTGGGGTGCCCCCCACACCGGTGCTCGCTGGCCGACCCCCACGCCGCCCGGGTCCCCCGCACCTGCAGTGCACCACGATGGGCCCGGCGTGCGCGGGGTTGAGCGTCTTCACCTTCTTCAGGAACTTGAGCATCCCGATGGGGGTGAAGGGCACCCCGAAGTCCGGCCAGCTGGTGAAGTGCAGCTGGCACAGGAGCCGGGGGGCCCTGCAGCCGTCGGGGAGCTGCTGTGGGGACAGGGGGACGTGCGTGGGACAGCCACCCCCATCCCTGGAGTCGGCCCAGGGCTCGGGGACCCCGAGGCCAGCAGGGGCCCCCTCTGCTGGGGGCCTGGGTAAGTGCCCACAGCGCAGCCTCCGCTCCCCAGGGCCTTCGGGGGGAAGCAATGATGCTGTGGCCTGAGAGGAGGCGCTCTGGCTGCTCAGCCTCTCCCACGGATGTTACCCAGGGCCCAGGAGCTTGTCCGGACCAGTGTGTGTGTGTGTGTGTGTGTGTGGGCACGTGTATCTGTGTATATGTAGTGAGTGTGCATGTGTGTGTGCGTGCATGAATATGTGAGCTGGGGGCGGTGCAGAGCTGGGGCGGGGGCAGAGCTGGGGGCGGTGCAGAGCTGGTGGGGGCAGAGCTGGGGCGGGGGCAGAGCTGGGGCGGGGGCAGAGCTGGGGGCGGTGCAGAGCTGGGGCAGAGCTGGGGCGGTGCAGAGCTGGGGCAGAGCTGGGGCAGAGCTGGGGCGGTGCAGAGCTGGGGCGGGGGCAGAGCTGGGGCAGGGGCAGAGCTGGGGGGTGCAGAGCTGGGGTGGTGCAGAGCTGGGGCGGGGGCAGAGCTGGGGGATGCAGAGCTGGGGCGGTGCAGAGGTGGGGCGGGGGCAGAGCTGGGGCGGTGCAGAGCTGGGGCCGGGGCAGAGCTCTGTCCATCAGGAATCGCAGGCCCTGACCCCCGGATGGAGGCCACCTCCCCGGCCAGGAGCCAGCGCCCGCTCACCGACTGGATGCAGAACTTGCGGACGGTGTAGTCCACCAGCACCACGCAGTCCTCCACGCACACTCGGATGTGCCCGTAGGTCCAGCAGCCCTGGTCCGGCCAGTACTGGAAGCACTTCTCCTGCGGAGGGACGGCACCGGCTCAGACCCCCGAATCCTGGCGCTGGCGGGCCACGCCCACGCCCACTCCGGCCCAGGCCCTGCTCCCAGGTGTGGCCGAGCCGCCAGGACCTTCCATGTCACCACTGCGCAGGCGCCTCCTCCCCCTCCAGCCCCTCCCCCGGGGCCTTGGAGGTAGACTGGCAGCTGCCTGCAGCGGGAAAGCGCAGGGCAGGCCCTGGCTGGGTGGCTCAGTGGGTTGGAACACCGTCCTGATAAACCAGGGCTGTGCGTCTGATCCGGGATCAGGGCACACACAAGCCATCAATGAATGCATAAGCAAGGGAAACAACAAATCTCTCTCTCTCTCTCTCTCTCTCTCTCTCCATCTCAAACAAGAACACAGGGAAGTGTCTGCTTATAAAGGGGAACCAGGCCACCCCGCTGCTCAGAGCAGCCCCCGGCCTGTAACGGCCTCGCTGACACCCATGCCCAGACGCATTCACCCGTTCGCCAGGCCGTGGATCACTGACCCCGCTCCCTGAGCCTGCGCCCTGCAGGGCCGGAAACCTGCCACAGGGGCCCCCAGGCCACGGGGCCCGCACCCAGCCCCTGGGACTGTGCCCCCAAACCCCTCCCGTGGGCAGCGCATGGCCCTGCCCGGCTCCGCTGGCTGAGGATGGACGTGGCTGCAGCCGCGGGGAGAGGCCATGGCCATGCCACGCCCATGTCTCTGAGGCCAGGGCTGACAGGCACCTGGCAGGGCCACGTGGCTAGAGGCCGTCTGTCCCTCCCCCTCCCCGCTACAAAGGGCCCAGGGCCCGGCACCCACAGAGGCCGGCCCCGAGCCGGACCCCGAGGGGGCGCAGGCCTGTCCGCACCTCCTCTGCAGTCACCGCTCCGAACACGGGGCAGCCGGTCCGGAAACAGCCGGGGGTGCCCGCAGGGAGTCCCATGAGGATTAATCACCCCTCAGAGGCCCCCGCTGTTCACCAGCGCCCCCGTCTGTGTGGTGACACCCATGGGACGACACCCCTCCCACATCCGGCCAGGGGGGTCCCCAAAGCGGCCAGAGATGCAAGCTCCCCAAGTCCCTGGTTCAGGCCCGGCTCAGCCTCCTGGCCCCTGGGACCCACCAGAGCTTCTCGCTGGAAAGGCTGTGCCTGGGCCCTCGGAGGGTGCCTGGCCCCCCTCCCCCCGGCTCCTGTGAGGTCCGAATCCAGGGGCTCTCAGCCACCCAGTCCCCCCCTTGCTCTCTCTCTGACAGCTCAGGGGGTGACAGCGGCTGTTTCGCAACCCGGGCCGGGAGTGGGAGTGGGCCCCAGCGGAAGTGGGAGCCACAAGAAAAAGGGAACTCATTGAGAAAGGAGCTCATGGGCAGCGGGGACATGGACACCGGGCAGGCCTGTCTGAGTCTCAGACACGGGGACACGGGGAGACCCAGGAGGAGGCCGGGTGACACCGGGAGGAACGCCGAGGGGCCGGCACAGCCGCCTGCTCTCAGGACCCCCCCTCCCCCCGCAGCTTCTGGTCTCAGTGTTTCCTGTTTGTAAACCAGCCCCGCCCCCAGAGGGGGGGGCAGTAAGTGTCCCTGGGAGTCCCGCCTCCTGCAGTCACTCCAGGACCCACCCAGAGAAGGGTGGCCCGGCCCTGTCCCCACTCCTTCTAAAACGCGCCCCCCCCCCCCCCCCAAACCGGAAATCGTGGCTAGAGGCTATCTCCTGTGGCTCAGAGACAGGGCCCGGGCTGCAGTGACTGGGCCGGCCCTGCCTGTCCCTGGCCTCCCACCCCCACACCCCCACACCCCCGGCTGAGGGCCATCGCAAAGGGCAGCCCTCCCCCCTCACCCCCACACCCCCCACCCTGCTCCCAGGCCTTAGCCGAGCTGCCTGGGCTCCTGGGGGCCATGTCCCATGCCAGGGAGTGAAGTGGAGGAGGAGAGGCAGAGCAGAGATCAGCTCCTCAGGACCAGGCCTGGACGTGGGCCTTCCTTCCTCTCCACGGCCCTCGGGCTAGAACAGCGGTCGGCAAACTCATTAGCCAGCAGAGCCACATATCAACAGGACAACAACGATCGAAACTTCTTTGGAGAGGCACATTTTTTAAACTTAAACTTCTTCTAACGCCACTTCTTCACCATAGACTCGCCCAGGCCGTGGTCTTTTGTGGAAGAGCCACACTCAAGGGGCCAAAGAACCACATGTGGCTCGTGAGCTGAGGTTTGCCGACCACTGGGCTAGAACATGCTAGAAAGTTTCCCCACCTCCTGCAAGTCTCCCTCCAGCTCCCAATGCTGCCTGCATTCTGGAAGTGCGCTCACTTCCTTCAAGACAAGCCTCACTGGCCCTCAGCTCCTCACTGCATTTCTGGCCGCCCTGCCTGGTGTGGCCATGGGGGGGTCTGGGATGGGAGTGGCCACTGGGGGGTCGGGGAGGGCGGAGGTTGGTCCTGGTTTCACAAGCACATGGCCCTTCCCTGCCTGCTTCTCTGGCTGGGGTTGGTAACATTCCCTCGGCACCAGCACCATCCCCCAGGTGAGCTGTGCGGGTGTCCTGGCCTCGACCCCAGGGGCTGCTCCACCTCACACCTCACCCCCCGACACACACACACGCTTTCTGCCAGGAACTCATCAGCTGGGTTCTGGCTGCCCTCTGGGTTCAGAGCAGGCGGGGAGCCATGAAGCCGGCCCTGCATTCCTGCCCCTGGTCTGCGGGGCGCACAGGCCCAGCCCGGCCAGGCCCTCTACCGCGTCGCATGGCTCAGCCTGCGGACACCACTGTCCCCTTCACGCACCACTGCTTTCTGTGGCCCCTCCTGACCGGCTGTTTGTTTCCTTCTGTGGCGCCAGCCCTTGGGCGGAATACGGTGCACGAGGCTGATCTGCAGCCGGGTCCCTGCATACAACCCTGACTGGCCGGAGCCGGTCCAGGAGACCAGAGCTGGCATTTGCCACAGGTAATTAATTAACCAATTAATTATTATTTGGTTAATCCTCACCTGAGGATATTTTCCCATTGATATTTAGAGAGAGTGGAAGGGAGAGGGAGAGACACACAGAGAGAAACATCCATGTGTGAGAGAGACATATCGACTGGTCGCTTCCCATCGTACCCAGCAGGGCAGGGACTGAGCCTGCCAGCAAGGCCCGTGCCCGTGACTGGAATTGAACCTGGGACCCCTCAGGTCTGCAGACCGGTGCTCTATCCTCTGAGCCAAACTGGCGAAGGCCCATTTGACTTAACTCTTTGGAGAGGCTTTGAGTTCTTACAATGCACGTTACTTCTTGAATTAGAAACAGCTGATTAGATATATTAGCAGGATAACTCGGCATTCACTCAATAGAGCCTGCTCTGGCCAGTTTGGCTCACTTCGATGTTTCTCTCTGTCTCTCCCTCTCCCTTCGTCTCTCTCAAAATCAAGGGAAAACTTTCCCTGGGTGAGGATTACCAACAACAAACATATGTCTTGATTTTCAAATGCATTTCTCTGGTCTGGCTAAGAAGCAGGAAGTCACTTTTGCTTACAGTGTGAGGCCCACACATCACATGCTCAACATGATAGAAATCAAAACGCTGAAAGCCACTGCCCCATCACGGAGTGAGAGCCGCCCGCCAGCGGGAAGACCCTGGCGTGGTCATCGCGAACAGTGAGCCCAGTGGAGGGACAGGGCCACAGACTGACCCGCCCAGCTCGGGCGGCCAGCCTGCAGGACCTACAGCCCGGGAAGTGACCAGTGGAACATGGAACTCCCAACTAAAGCGGGTCCTGGTGGTAGGGACATGCCAACAGGTAGCTTCCTGGTCAGAGGTCAGTGTTTGCCCTTGGCTGAGCCTGCCATTGTCATTTTGCATCTTTTTTTTTTTTTTTAATATCTATTTCTTTATTGATTTCAGAGAGGAAGGAAGAAGGAGAAGTAGAAACATCAATGATGAGAGAGAATCACTGATTAGTTGCCTCCTGCATGCCCCCTACAGGATCAAGCCTGCAACCCAGGCATATGCCCTTGGCCAGAATTGAACCTGGGACCCTTCAGTCTGCAGGCCGACGCTCTATCCACTGAGCCACACTGGCTCAGGCTCATTTTGCATCCGATGTAACAACCTTTGGAAGGTGGAGCGATCCCCTTCCCAGATCATTGGCACAACCTCCCGCCAGAGCAGAGAGCACAGAACTCATGGTTATCTGGTCCCCTGGATACCACCTCTATGTGCTGCAAATGTATATTATTAATTATTATTATTACTTCAGAGAGACAAAGGGAGAGGGAGAGATCGAAACATCAAGGATGAGAATCATCCATCAGCCGTCTCTTGCACGTCCCCCACCGGGGATCAAGCCCACAACTCGGGCATGTGTCCCGACCAGCAATCGACCGTGACCTCCGGGTTCATAGGTCAGTGCTCAACCACTGAGCCACCCCGGTGGCTGTGCTGTTAACTACCCAATACCCAGCGATGTAAAAGGCGTATGTGTCTCTCCACCTTGCTTTTCATTTAATCCGAGGTCTCCCCTCGTTGCTTTCTCCCTCGCCCTGAATCCACCACCTGTGGGGTTCACAGGCCCCTCCTTCAGCCTCCTCCTTTGAGTAAAGTACAAAACAGCCCTTCTCGGGAGCCTTCCCCAGGCCGGGAGATTTCGCTTCCTGGCAGCGGTCCTCACTTTGGGGCAAATGCACTCAGGAGAATTCTCTGCAGGTTTTCACTTCCCACATCCGTGGCTACTTGGCACACAGAGTATTTACTTCAAGATAAGGGTGCTGTGAGCCAGGGGGTGCTTTCTAAATTTTCTCCTGCAGCGAGGAGGGAGCGGACAGGAAGAGGAAGTGGTACAGCCCCCACCCCCACCCCGGCTGCCAGCAGCAAAGAGAAAGTGCTTCCCTGCTCGAGGGCCGGGCTCACCTCTTTCCTCTCTTTCAGGTTCGTCAGCATGACGATGGTGGCCGACTTCTGCTCCCAGATCATCCTCCAGAAGTCATTCACTGTTTCCTGCTTCGGGCCTGCACACGGAGGGGGGGCCCAGAGTCAGCAAGAGAGAAGTCCGGGGTGGCCCAGCCCCAGGCACCGCCTGGGCCCTGGACGGCTGCTCCCCCGATTCTCTGAGGCACATAAGGGCTGGTCGACCCAGTTCACACCCCACAGAATTCCAGAAGCCTGGGCCGGAGGGACCAGCGGGTCCCAGCCTGCCCCTTCCAGCCCGTCGCACTCCCCGCGCCCCTGGAGCTGGGAACTCCTCGGGGGCTGAGGCCGTGGGCCCGGGCAGGGGGCAGTCACAGGCAGGGACCCAGAAGAATGAGAATTCTAATGGTCTGCAGGCTACGGGCCAAGTGGTTTGTGGCCACTCAGTGTTTCAGTCTTCCTATCGCACATGGATGTGGTGTGTGAGTGTGAGTGTGTGTGAGGAGAGAGTAACAATAACAAGCTTACCTTGAGCTGCTATGAATTTGTTCTTCTCCTTGTAACCCTAGAAATAGAAAAACAGATTTATAATGTCTCAAAATTATCTTCGTATGTCCCTCTCTAGTCTTTATTTTCTGGGAATACCTTTCGACACACACACATGGGTAGACACACACACACAGATACACACACACATACACACATATATATATTTAACTGGTTTATGCAGATAAGTTCTCTTATATTCTATTCTTAGATAATATTAAATTATCTTTTAAGGTTCAATTAAAATGGATCCGTAATAATCCTCTGGGTGCTCTGTTTTATCAGTTACATAAACAAAGCCTTAACGAACATCCTTGGTGCCTGTTTCTTTTTTCGTGTTAATCTCGCCCGAGGATCTTTCCATCGGTTTTAGAAAGAGTGGGAGAGAGAGGGAGAGATAGAGAGAAACTTAATGTGGGAGAAACTATCGATTGGCTGCCTCCTGCACAAGCCCTGACCAGGCTCCAGGCCAGAGAGGAGGCTACAACCGAGATTTGTGCCCTTGACAGGAATCGAACCCGGGACCCTTTGGTCCGCAGGCCGACACTCTGTTCACTGACCAAACCGGCCGGCGGTACCTGTGTGTCTTGGAAACGAAGCGCAGATACTAATTCAAAAGGTGTGGGCGCTCCGCGCTCTCCGTGCTGTGGCTGCACCGCCCAGTGGGGACAGTTACATTCCCGGACCCAGAAAGAAGCCCGGGGGCCATGACTCAGGGCCCAGGTGGGCATGCTGGCCGGGCCAGAAGCATGGAGGACTTACATCTATGTACGAAGCATTGATGTAGTCCGAACAGGGTGTTCCATCCACTTGGCTCAAAATCACCCTGGAATGATCATCTGTTTTAAAAAAAACACCACGATATCAGGAGCAGGAAACCACATCTGCCAGCTACAGCCTCAGATTCCTCAGAGTCCTCCCAGCTGCAGCCTCAGACCCGCAGAGTCCTCCCAGCTACAGCCTCAGACCCTGCAGTCCTCTCAGCTACAGTCTCAGACCCCAAAGAGTCCTCCTAGCTACAGCCTCAGACCCACAGAGTCCTCCCAGCTATAGCCTCAGATTCCTCAGAGTCCTCCCAGCTACAGCCTCAGACCCACAGAGTCCTCCCAGCTACAGCTTCCGACCCGCAGAGTCCTCCCAGCTACAGCCTCAGACCTCCAGACTCCTCCCAGCTACAGCCTCAGACCCGCAGAGTCCTCCCAGCTACAGTCTCAGACTTGAGTCCTCCCAGCTACAGCCTTAGACCCGCAGAGTCCTCCCAGCTACTGTATCTGACTGTGCAGAGTCCTCCCAGCTATAGCATTAAACTCTGCAAAGGACAGAACCAGGGCCCCATGGTGACCACAGAGGGACCAGACGAGGGAAAGAATCTGTGTCCACCACCCCTGGACGGCAGAATGTGCAGACCCTCCCGTGTGACAGCCATGTTCTCTGAGCCCCAGCAGGGCCCAGGACTGACACATGCAGGTGTGCTGAGAGGACTTTTGGGGGACTCTACCAGGCTTCCCAAGAGGAGGACTACTGCCTCTCTGGCCGAGTGGGCATCGGATCTGGGGTTTGGAACCACAGACCCAACCTCATCCTCCAGGTCTGCCCAGAGAGGAGGGTAAGCAGGACTCGCACAGACCTGGGCTGAGGGGCCCCCTGCCCGGGAGGTTCCGGCCTGCGGGACAAGCAGGGAGCTGACAGGAGTGCTGTGTGAGTGGTGTGTGTGTGTGTGGGGGGGGGGGCTATGTAACTGTGGGGGTTGTCTTGGCAGCGAGGCTGGCTCTGAAGGTCACCCAGGGGCAGGGCCCGGCCATTGGTGCCTCTGCACAGACATGCTCCCGCCCTGCCCTGCACGCCCTGGCGCCCACACTCCAGCCCGTGGCAGTGCTTAGCTGGTGGGTGAAACCGGGTTTACTGTGCACCTTCCCACAACCCCACGTGTTCCTCCTTCGTCCTTTCTGCCCTTGGTCCAAGGGACATGCTGCTGGTGGCCAAGAGCCACGTCCTTGGCTGGGGCGCAGGACCTGATCGTATAGGAGGGGCCCTGCCTGCCAGTGCGGCGGCCCCCTCCTGGCCCCAGGCAGCCCGGCCTCAGGCTCACAGCCAGACCCTCGCCGGCCCAGGCTGCCTGTGCCGTGGGGCACACCCGGGCCCGGACCGGGTGCGAGCTCCCAGCAGCTGCCCCGACACGGGCTCTGCGCTCCCAGCGCCCGGCTCGTCACGTCACTCAGGGCGACACGCACGGTCCCCGGAGCTGCGAGGGACTCGGAGTTCAGCCACAGGCCCCGGCCATGCAGAAACAGTGGGGTCTCACTGGGAAGGATGTTGGGGTATCTGTTCTTGTCCCTGTTTTCTTCCCTATTGGCCTGCTCGAAGGTTCCTTGCGTGTGTCCGGACGGCAGCGACTGGAAGAAAACAGAGGAGACACTACATGTGACCAATCCCGGCACCGAGCTCTGTCGGCCTCCCTGGGAGACAGGTCTCAGGTCCAGCCCCTGCCCGTCACCCCATTGTTTGTAGCAAGTCCCTATTGGCTGGCAACTGTACTAACAAGGCACTATTGGCTCATCAATTGTAACAAGTCACTATTGCTTTATCAATTGTAATAAGTCACTATTGGCTCATCAGTTGTAACAAGTCACTATTGGCTCATCAGTTGTAACAATGCAGCGCTAAAGCAATGGGCTGGTTGTTGGGAACGGTGTGCCAGCATCTGCCACTTCCGGATCAGTTTTTCTGTGACCCTGAAATGCCTGTTAAACAGTGAATTCAAAAGAAGAAAAAGCCCCGAGAAGCCTGCGCCTTCCTGGGAAGTGAGGCGGCTGCAGGGGAGGGGGGGTGGCAGGAGGGGCCAGGGTGGCAGGATGCTCCTGGCCCTGGCACCCAGCAGTGCGGCCTGGCATCTGCCAGATGGAGACAGGGTGCCCGTACAGCTCCGTGGGCGGCACAGAGCGGTGCTGGGTGAGAGGAACTAAGTGCTCCCGCTCCCACCACCCAGCCTGGCTCCAGCCCGCCCGCCCCCACTGAGCTGCCCTGCACTCTGCCTGCCCAGCCCGCCCGGCCTCCCCTCGCCAGCGGCCCTCAGCCCTGGCGCAGGGAACCGGGGTGCCGGGTCAGCCGCAGCGCCAGGCGTGAGCCGTACGGAGCGCTGGCTCAGCCATACGGTGTGACTCACTGCCCGGTGTCACACTGCTCGTTTCCCAGGTGAGGAAACTGAGGCAGAGGCAGACCTGGGCAGCCTCCACGCCCCCGTCAGCCCACGGACCTGGTCCCGCCTCCGCCCCCGCCCCTCTGAATCCTCTGCAAGCTCAGCTCAGCAATGCTCAAGTGCCCACACTCATGGGGACCCCCTCCTCGGACCGACGGTCTCCCCTCCACAGCTTTCGGGGGAGAAGCTCAGGGCAGCGGAGGAGAGAAGAGGAGGAAGCGGGCAGAGCCCTCCCCAAGCTGATCCACCTTCAGAGCCAGGAGTGGCTGGTGCCGGCGGCCCCGCTGCCCTTAGGGGAGGGATGGGCTGAGGGCGTGGCCGCCCCTCACCGGAGAGGAGAGCACCTAGGGTCACGCAGCCCGGCCAGGGTCCCCGAGCCAGGACCCGGCTCCACGCCGCTAGACTCAAGCGCAGCACTCTCTCCCCTCTCCCCGCTGCCCACCTGCCCTTGGCTGGACGGAGGGACACCCCCCCACCCCTGGAGGCTGCCAACAGCAGGACGGGGCGGGGTCCAGGAGAGCGAGGCACCGGTCCTGGATGCAAAATTGAAAGGGGCGCCCCCCCTCCCTTGTCCCCCCCCTCACCCCCCCAGCCTCAGGATTCAAAATACAGTAATATGCAAATGCAATGATTAAAAAATCAAAATAAATGCAAAGAATCCATAATGACAGTGGGGGGGGGAAGAAACTTTAAAGTAAGGACCCGCCCAGGGAGGTGTGGTCACAAGCCGCCCGGAGCCTGGAGCGGCAGGGAACACAGGCCCCAGCAATCTGTTATTGCTCACAAGTTGGTGGCAGGCATAAAATGTCATAAAATGTCGCATTAAAGTGTTATTTTTCCCCAGGACCAGTGTTTGGGCTTGGGAGGCTCCTCCCCTCCTGTGCCTGGGGCCAGGCCTCGCCTGCCTGACCTTGATTCCCGCCAGCTCCTCAGTGGCACTGCCAGCTCCTCAGTGGCACGTACCTGCGGCGGGGGCAGGGCTGTGGGTCCTGACTCAGAGCCCACACCGTCCGGGCAGGGAGAGGCGCAGAGCGGAGCCGGGGATGGCGGGGGAGGGAGGGAGAGGCCTGGTCACTGGGAACTGCAGGGCTATTTTGAGAATGGAGAAGTGACTGCTCTTATCTGTGGGAGAGCTTGCAAAACAACGCTGCTTGGAGCTATTTTCCAATATGACCCCATTTCTCCAGAAAGGGGACACGGAGGGAATCGCCGAAGAGGAAGGAAGAGTGCAGATGAGGCTTGGGCGAAGGAAAGGGAGAAAGTCCCGCGAAATGTGTCACCGCCTTCCCGGGCCCCGGTGGCTTCGGCGCGGACGGCGAGCGTGCAGTGGGTGGTGCGTCATCTTTGGAGGTAACAGCTGCACAGCCTCCGCTGGGCACGCTCCACGGGGCCCTGCCTCAGCCTCCAGGGGAGCGGGAGGTCACCAGGCCCCCTCGCACCCCCCACCGCATGGAGCTGGCGTCCGGACACTGACTGATGTGCCAGGGCCACGGCCCGACAGGCAGGGCCCGGGCCGGGCGGCCGTCCTGCGGGGAACCCATCCTGTTCCGCACCCAACACCCGCCGCCGTGGCCACGTACACTCGGAAGATAAAACCCAAGGGATAAACACGAAGGGCGAAACCCAACACTCGCCAGTGTCTCTCTCCCTGCCCACCTCTACATTCACTACCTACCACCTACCTACCACCTTTCTATCTACTTATCTACCTACCTACCGTCTATCCGTCTACCTATCTATCTCCCTTCTATCTATCCATCTATCTACCTATCTAGCAGCTGTCTATTTGGTTCTCAGTTCATAGGACACTGAATACACATTTAACAACCAGCCAGCGTGGCTCAGTGGTTACACATCAACCTATGAACAGGAAGGTCAGGGCACAGGCCCGGGTTGCGGACTTGATCCCCAGTGTGGGTCATGCAGGACGCAGCCGATCAATGATCTTCTCTCATCATTGATGGTTCTCTCTCCCTCCCTCTCCCTCCCCCTCGGAAATCAATACATTTTTTTTTTTTTTAATTAACAACGCCAGCGGAGGTGCCCTTGCTGTACTTGTATTTCTGGCAGAGAGTTCATAGGACCAGTTTGTTACCACGGGGACCATACCAGCTGGTCAAATCCATCTCAGCAGCTGTCATTACTAAGTTCATGGAGGCACTCCACCCAAGAAGCATTCACCGGAGGAAACAAGCAAAACCTTAGATTACACGGACTCCAACAGACGCCAAAGAGCTTGGGCCTGGCCAATGTGGTTCAGTGGTTGGGCATCGATCTATGAACCAGGAGGTCAACGGTTTGATTCCCAGTCAGGGCACATGCCTGGATTGCAGGCTTGGTCCCCAGTGTGTGTGTGTGTGTGTGTGTGTGTGTGTGTGTTGGGGGGGAGGGTGCAGAAGGTATTGGATCTCTCTCATCATTGATGTTTCTCTCTCTCCCCTTCTCCCTTCCTCTCTGAGTCAATAAAAAACATTTTTTTAAAAGCTGTTGGGGCACCTCAGCTCCCTCCAGGTGGCCCCCACAATTTGACTGCCCTGTGATGCTGGTACGGTCCCCATGGTAACAAACTGGTCCTACCAGCTCTCCTCCATTAGATGCCTGGCACCCGGAGGCCCATGGCTTCTTTTTCCAAGAGAAGCACGTTTATTGGTGACGCTGGGTATGCCCACGGCTTCCATGGGAAACGATTACACTGTGGCCTCCCGGGCCCGGTCCTCCAGGCCCCGGACCAGTGTCTCTGCCACTGGGTTTCGGATTTCGGGCCAGAAGGAGGCTTCAGGCACCCCGCCTCTCCGTGACGTGTCATAACTGAGGAATGGGCGTCAGTCAGTGCGGGGATTGAGAAGGAGGGGCCCGGCCAGTCCTGGGGGACCGTGTTCTCAGGGAGGCAGGAGTCCGGGGCAGCCCCCGCCCTGACCGGCCCCGGCCCCGGGCGGCGGCCCCACTCACGTGGAACTCCTCGCGGAACATCTTGCCGTCGTCAGCCGAGCGGGCCCGGATCTCCTCCTCCAGCCGGCCCACCGGGATGGGGAAGTATTTCTTGGGCCCCGACGGGGACCGGCTGAGAAGCATCACCCTCTGCTGCTCTGCGGAGCGAGAGACACACGGCCGCTCAGCGGGACTCGGGCGGGCGGGCGGGCGGGCGGGCGAGTCATCAACCAGACAGGCCGGCAGCATGGCCGGAGCAGCCGCAGCTGGAGGACCCGTTCCTGTCGGGCCTCCGGGCCCGGCCCCGCGGCCTGAGCAGCTGGAGGCAGAGGTCCCAGCCAGAGGACACTGCACCCCTTCTAGGGGACGGGGTGCCCCTCGCCTGCTCTCAGAAACCATAGGCGCCTTCTCTTCCCTGCGCCCCACCCCCCACACCCACCCAGCCACCCGCCTTCCCTCCAGCCCCTGCCCCTCCATGGAAGGTCCAGCAGCCGCCCCGCAGCCTCCAGGCCGGCGGCACGAGGGACGGTGGTCCTGGGTTTTGGGAGCAAGTTCAGCTCAGACTGGAATCAGCAGGCCACGCCCTTCCTCAATCCTGCTGGTCAAACCCCCAGAGCTCCAAGTTTTGGGTTTTAAAAAATATTTATTTTTTAATATATATATATTATTGATTTTTCACAGAGAGGAAGAGAGAGGGATAGAGAGTTAGAAACATCGATGAGAGATAATCATTCATCAGCTGCCTCTTGCACACCCCCTACTGGGGATGTGCCCGCAACCCAGGTACATGCCCTTGCCCGGAATCGAACCCGGGACCTTTCAGTCCGCAGACTGACGCTCTACCACCGGTCCCGGCAAAATATGTATTTTTTTTTATTGATCTCAGAGAGGAAGGGAGAGAGAGAGACAGAAACATCAATGATGAGAGAGACTCATTGATGGGCTACCTCCAGCACACCCCCTACTGGGGATCTAGCCCACAATGCAGACATGTGACCTTGACTGGAATCAAACCTGGGACCCTTCAGTCCACAGGTCGAGGCTCTATCCACTGAGCCAAACTGGCTAGGGCGGGTTTTGATATTTTTGGGAGGGAGGTGGTGGGTGAGGCAAGGGGCATTGAAAAGGAGAAGGCTGGCCAAAACCGGTTTGGCTCAGTGGTAGAGCATTGGTCTGCGGACTGAAAGGTCCCGGGTTCAATTCCGGTCAAGGGCATGTACCTTGGTTGCGGGCACATCCCCAGTAGGGGGTGTGCAGGAGGCAGCTGGTCGATGTTTCTCTCTCATCGCCGTTTCTAGGTCTCTATCCCTCTCTCTTCCTCTCTGTAAAAAAACAATAAAATATATTTTTTTTAAAAAAGAAAGAAAGAAAAGAAAAGGAGAAGGCTGCCTGGTTGGCGTGGCTCAGGGTTGAGCACCCACCTATGAACCAGGAGCTCACGGTTTGATTCCCGGTCGGGGCACAGGCCTGGGTTTTGGCTGGATCCCCAGTGTGGGGCGTGTAGGCGGCAGCCGATCAGCGATTCTCATCATTGATGTTTCTATCTCTCCCGTTCCCTTCCTCTCTGAGATCCATATAACCATATATTTTTTTTTTTTTAAAGGAAGACCAGGAGAAGGGTGATGGGCAGCAAAGGGCACCCACAATTTGGAGCGAGACAAGGTCACCATGGTAACCTTGCTGTTTCGCTTGCTCAGGGCCTGTCCCTACCTGCCTGCCTGCAGGGCAGCGGCTCTGAGCCCAGCCACGCCTGACCCAGGCTGTTCCCGACACCCAGGCTGCAGAAGGACCCAGTCTCCCACACCTTCCTCCCTCCCACAGCCTCCTCTCCCCCACGGCCACCTCCCCCCTCAGCCTCCCCCCCCCCACGGCCTCCTCCCCCCTCAGCTTCCCCGCCCACAGCCTCCTCTCCCCCACGGCCACCTCCCCCCTCAGCCTCCCCCCCCCACGGCCTCCTCCCCCCTCAGCTTCCCCGCCCACAGCCTCCTCTCCCCCACGGCAATCTCCCTTCCTCAGCCTTCTCTCCCCCCCATGGCCTCCTTCCTCCCACGGCCTCCTCCCCCCACAGCCTCCTCCCTCCTCAGCCTCCAGGAAGGTGACCTGGAGGCCACATTATCACCCACCCAGGTCACGCCCCGGCACTATCCCTGCTCAGCCAGGTCCTCGCTGAGGGCTGGGGGAGGAGGGGGCTGGGGTCTGGGGGAGAAGGGGGCTGGGGGCTGGGGGAGGAGGGAGCTGGGGGCTGGGGGAGGAGGGGGTTGGGGGCTGGGGGAGGAGGGGGTTGGGAGAGGAGGGGGTTGGGGCTGGGGGCTGGGAGCTGGGGGAGAAGGGGTCTGGAGGAGGAGGGGGCTGGGGGCTGGGGGAGGAGGGGGCTGGGGGTTGGGGGAGGAGGGGTCTGGGGGCTGGGGGCTGGGGAGAAGGGGTGCTTTGCAATCCCCCTTGAAGCCTGACAGGCTGCACGGTTGCTCCCCAAACTCAGAGCTTCCGCAGCCGCCGGCTGAAGGAGCCGGGCGCCCACGGAGAAGCCTCACTGCTCTGTGCGCCTCGAGGGGCGGTCAGACCTCTCAGTAGCGGTGACACTGAGGCCTGGGCGGAGGGAAACGCCCCAGACCCATCCTTCCGGTCCGACACCCCCTGCTGGCCCCTCCCGGCGCGGCCAGGAGCCCCTCCGAGTCTCCGCTGAGCCCCCACCCCAAGCAGGACTGCGAGGCGCTCGGAAACGCCCCCCCCCCCCCCGTCAGGACCCCGGGGTACCACGGCTCCCGGAGGGAGGGCCCTGTGCGGGAGGGAGCCCCGGCTCAGCGGGTCCAAGCATCGGACCCTGAACCCCGGTTTGTCCGCGTATCCGGACCACAGCCCCGGCGTGTGGGCGCATCAGACCCCCCTGGGCCTGTCGGGCACCGGGTCCCGGCGTGAGGCCCCGGGGCGGACACAGGGGACCCGGTCCGCGCCCGGCCCGCGTCAGCCCGGCCCCGGCGTACCTTGCTCCTCCAGGATCCCGTTGGGCATCTTCCTGTCGCCGCCGCTGACCGTGGCCTTGCGGTGCTTCCTGAACCTGGGACAGACAGACAGACAGAGGGGCGGGTTAGGTTTCCGCCGGCGGCGCCCCGCCCGCCCCGAGGGAGGGCACCCACCAGGTGAGCCGCGAGAAGCTGCTCCGCGAGCTCATGGCCCCGCGCCCTGTGCCTCCGGGCCCCACGCCCGTCTCCGCAGCCCCGGGCGCTCATTTCCTCCCGACCGACGGGGCGGCCCCAGGGGAGGGACCGGGGGAGGGACCGGGGGAGGAGGGACACGGGGAGGGGGAGGGACACGGAGGAGGAGGGACACGGAGGAGGAGGGACACAGGGGAGGGGCACGGCAGGGGGCAGAGGGGGAGGGACACGGAGGGAGGGACACAGGGAGGGACACTCCTACCTGAGGAAGTAGCCAGCCAGGAGCAGCAGCAGCAGCAGGAGCAGCAGCGGCAGCAGCAGCCAGGCCAGCAGCGGCCGGGCGCCCGGGGCCTGCGGCTCTGGGGGCGGGAGGGGCACCGTCAGGACCGGACTCGGCTGGGGGGAGCGGGGGTCCGGGCAGGGAGAGCCCCAACCCCAGACGGCACTCCTGGTCTCCAGCCCCGCACCGGCCTTCTCCCCGGGACACGCCTCGCTTTCCAGTTTGCCTCCCAGCAGCCCTCCCCCACGCCAGACCCCTCCCCCATCACCCAAAGCTCCCACCAGCCCCTCCTCCCAGGCGCTGAACCAACCACACTCTGCAGTCTGTGACACAGCCCCTCCCCACGGGCCTTCTTCTCGGACCCGGGACCGCCGGTACAGTTCCTACAGCCTCCTCCACCCACCTCCTCCCTGCACACAGCCCCCACCCCCTTCACAGGTGCAGCCAGCCCACTCCCGTCCACGGCGGCCACGAGGGCCCCACTGCACAGTGGCAGCGTGGACACTGAGAAGAAGTGACTCGTCCAAGGGGCTCTGATGCCTCTGGGCACAACCTGGGGGGGGCCTTCCCCTCCACGGCTGCTGCCACCTGAGCTCAGAGCACCAAGCATGACCCTGAGCCGGCCCCCCCCCCCCCCCCCGCCCCTGCAGCCTCCCGGCAGCCTGACCCCAGGCGTGAGCTCCGGAGCAGCCATCCAGCCCGCTCCCACCGGCTCCTAGGGTGCCAAGGCCTCTGCTCCTCATAGTGGCCATTAGATGCAGTGCTGCACGGAGGGCAGCTGGGCTGGGAGGAGGCGGCCCGGCCACCATCAGCCTCAGGCTGTGCCAATGCTGCCCCCTCCTGGCCAGTGTCAGGCTGCAACCTAAGGCCAGGGGCAGAGGGGAGGAGTCACTGCTCTGCCTGAGACTGGGCTCCATCGCCACCTGGCCTGGCAGCCCAGGGCTCCGGCAGGGCCCTCCCCTCGCTGCCACAGAGATGCCCACCTCTCACCGCGTGGGGCCAGGTTGTCCGGCTCGGCAGTGACCAGAGGGCGGTGGCCTAGGGGAGGATGCAGCCTGCCCTGGGGTTTCAGGGGCACCTGGACCCCAGACAGCCCGCCCCGGGGCTCTGTCAGGGGCTGGGAGGTGGGAGGGCTGTGCACAGGGTAGAGGTGGGCGTGGGGCAGGCGGCCCCCCTCGGGGTGTCTGCTGTGTGCCCGCGGCGGCCCCTGGGGACAGAGGTCAGCAGGAGCGCCCGTGGGCAGGTCTGCTGGCCGCTTCACAGCCCAGCCCATGGGGGCCAAGCGGACTCCTCCCAATTCTGCAAAAGAAGAAATCCAGCCGAAACCGGTGTGGCTCGGTGGATAGAAAGGTCCCGGTTCTGTTCCGGTCAAGGGCATGTACCTTGGTTGCAGGCACATCCCCAGTGCGGGGTGTGCAGGAGGCAGCTGATCGATGTCTCTCTCTCATTGATGTTTCTAACTCTCTGTCCCTCTCTCTTCCTCTCTGTAAAAAAAAAAAAAATCAATAAAATATATATTTTAAAAAAAGAAGAGATCTATTCCATCGTCCTGTGAAGCTAGCTGACGTTTATACGTTGGAATAGTTCCACCGGAACACAACTCTGAGGAACCCACGGGCCTGGCCAGGCTGTCCCGGCCAGATTCGCTCAGAGAGGGAGTCCAGGAGGAAATGCCGAAGCCAGTGTCTGCTTCATTTCACACAGGTGTGGCTCAGGCGGGGAGGGGGGTGTTCGGGGGGGTGTCCTAGATGGTCACCTTGGAGCAGCCTTCTCCCCAAATTCCGGGTATGTGGTGCTCGTGCACACTCTGTGCACATGTGACCTGCACAGTGTGTGTCTTACATGGAGTCTGTCCTGGACATGGAAAGTTGGGGGCTTGGGCCCGGCCGGTGTGGCTCAGGGGTTGAGCATTGACCTATGAATCCAGAGGTCATGGTTCGATTCCCGGCCAGGGCACATGCTGGGGCTGCCGGCTCGATCCCCAGTAGGGGGCGTGCAGGAGTCAGCTGACTGCTGATTCTCATCATTGGTGTTTCTCTCTCTCCCTCGCCCTCTGGAGTCAATAAAAATATATGTTTAAAAATGGGCGAGAGACTAGAACGATGCACCCACGGGCCACCCGGCTGAGCACGCTCATCTGTAGCCCCGCCCACCTGCTCTTTTTCAAGTCACTGCTAAACTTCCTACCGTGTGTAAGCACTTTAACATGTGTCTCTGAAAGATAAAGGTTCCTATTTTTAAAAACAATCCTACCCGGTAAACCAACATCTTATGTAAACATTAACAGGTCTCCATCCCACTGCTGTGTCCGTATCTGAGGACCGGGTGGCTGTCCCGGGGTGGCTCTGGCCGGGGCTGGTCTGAATGGGCTCCCACGGGGTCTCCTGCTCCCTCAGCAGGGGCTTCTGTCTGCTGCCTCCTGAGCCTGGGGCTGGGCTCCGGGCAATGAATGAACCCGAACCACCGGCGATCCCAGGCAGCCTGCTTTTCTAGGCGTCCACGCCCACACACCTGACCCCTGACCCCTCATTCCTGACCCCTCACACAAGCCAGTATGCCCCCCTCCTCCCCTGTCAGCCAGGCTAGCCCCGGAGGCCCTGTGAGCTCCTGGGCGGGGCGGCGGGTGCTGTGGGGGGGGGGGGGGGCAGCTGGGAAGGGCGGAGGGTGCTCACCTGCGGTTGTGGAGGTCCAGTTGCTGTTGGCCGGGATGCTCTCGTTGACCGTGAAAGCCTTGGCGAGCCGCAGACTAAAACCCGCCAGCAGGAGCGGGCAGAAGGGCTCCATGGCGGACCTGGAAGAGGCAGGCAGGCTCAGGGGACGCCCCCCACCCGCCGGTGGACACGGGAGGGCTGGGACCAGTGACAGCGGATGCTTCGGCAGCACTGCCGTGTCAGTCTGAGCATTAAAATCCTGCTATTGCCCAAACCGGCTTGGCTCAGTGGTAGAGCGTCGGCCTGTGGACTGAGGGTCCCGAGTTCGATTCCGGTCAAAGGCATGTACCTTGGTTGCGGGCACATCCCCGGTGAGGGGTGTGCAGGAGGCAGCTGGTTGATGTTTCTCGCCGATGTTTCTAGCTCTCTATCCCTCTCCCTTCCTCTCTGTAAAAAATCAATAAAAATTTTTAAAAAACCCTGCTATTGAATATGGCTATTATTGATTTCAGTGAGGAAGGGAGAGGGAAAGGTAGAAACCTCAATGGTGAGAGAGAATCATGGGCCAGCTGTCTCCTGTACGCCCTATACTGGGGATCGAGCCCACAACCCAGGCCTGTGCCCTGACGGGGAATCAAACCGTGACCTCCTGGCTCATAGGTCGACGCTCAGCCCCTGAGCCAGGCCGGCTGGGCCCATACTTTTAATACGTTGAGCAAATGATAGAGGGATTGGGTGGGGAGGGCGTATTCATTGGCTTAACACAACTCACACATGCAGAACTCCTAGTCACACGCATTCATTTGAAAACCCCCTCCCCGCATGTGGACCAATGGGAGAGGAGGCCAGCACTCTTGACCCAAAGGACATTTTCTCCAGCATCTAACACCGGGTGATTTTCCTGGTCCGGCCAGCAGAGGGCACTACACCCTGCAGCCTTCAAGCCCGCCCACCATCCAAGTCCCTTTCCTGGAGCAATTATGTTGCCAGACCAACCAACTTGTCAGGCCCCGGACATCCGCCCTCCCAGGGCGCTCACCGCCACCTGAGAAGCACAGAGAGGAACCAGCACAAAAATAACATGTGGGTTGGCCATGGACTCCAAGCTGAATGTTCACCATGTACTGAGCCAGCTTACCAGACCTGACACTGCCTCTGTGCCGGGCATAAAATACACTGGATCGAACTACACCGAAGATTTACTTGGGTGAATAATAGAATTATATTTGTAAATCACAATGTTGAAAACAACCTCAAATTCATATTGGTAATCACTGACGTAATAATCTTATTTTCTGTTTTTAATATCACAATAATGTTCTGTACGTAAAGGCCTAAATATACCACTATTTATTAGTTGAAGTAGAAGTGACCATGTATACATACTATCTTGCTTGAAGAAGTCTTTGACAAAAAAGCAATATCTGTCATTTGTAAATTTTCTTGTTTTAAAGAAAGCAATTATGTTCTACAGATATAAATCATGTAAATAAAAGTTATTTTATATATATATTAAAAAATACATCGGCTCTCCGGAAGGGAGACCAACACAGCTCATTTGCAACAAAGCGGACTTGCCTCTGGCTCCCAGCGAAAGCCAGCCAGCTGCCGTACAGATTAGAATCGCCTTTTTCATTCCATTGGACGAATTTTTTAAAAAAATATATATTTTATTGATTTTCTACAGAGAGGAAGGGAGAGAGATAGAGAGTTAGAAACATCGATGAGAGAGAATCATCGATTAGCCGCCTATTGCACACCCCCTACTGGGGATATGCCTGCAACCAAGGTACATACCCTTGACCGGAATCGAACCCGGGACCTTTCAGTCCCGAAGCCGATGCTCTATCCATTGAGCCACACCGGTTTCAGCTCATTGGACGAATTTTATTTTATTTTATTATTATTTTTTTGTGTGTGTGAAACCCAAATTTATTTGTTTAAAAATGCTCAAGAGTCTTTAAAAAGCCCAATGGCGTCCAGGTTTAATCTCAGATCATCCTGGCGTGGAGTGCTTCCGCTTCTTCTTTTGTGCGGCGTCGATTTGATCCCTGTCAACGAGACACCTTGGCAATTCCAGTTGGATCGTGGCGTCATCTTGTGACTCCCAGTATCTGTCATAAATGGCCATCAGGCTATGAACGATGAGAAACGTAATACCAGAAATAATCACGAGACGTCTGCAGATTTTACTTGAACCTCCTTTCTGAATCATTCTTTTCAACCAGGCCCACTGATGATCAATTTGAGTAGGGGAGATCATGAGTGTCGCCTGCAAAGACTGGCATTAAATGCAGCTTTTTCAGAAAGAAACCAGCAAACACACTTCCAGATGAAACAGCCATTGGATGAATTTTAAAATACGTTTTATTCTCGTTGATTTCAGAGGGAACGGGAGAGGGGACGGCTGGGTGCTCTGCCAGAGGTGCTTCGCACCCCAACAAGCGGGAGGAAGACGTGAGTCTCTAGAAACTTCCTCCCCGTCCCGTTTCAGCCTGGTCTTCCCGGCCCCGGGAGACAGGCGCTGTTCTGACTTCTGTCTGCGGACCCAGTGAGCCCGGCCTGCCCTGGACCCTGCCTGACCTTCCTGCGCATGGAACCACCAGGTTGCACCCCGTGTGCGGGTTTCTGGCCTTGGGCGGGCTGCTGAGGCCCCCCTGGGGCTGGGCACTGGGCCTGCTCCTCCTGGTGTTGAAGGCTGCCCTCCGAGCGGCCACATGACTGCCCATCCACTGGCCCCTCCCCGCACTCCTCTGGGTTGTTGCTGTTTTGTTTTTTTTGTTTGTTTTTTTCCATGATGAGCAAAGCTGCTCTGAACTTGGGTCACAGTCTTTTTGGGACAAATGTTTCTCATTGCTCAGGGGCAAACGCCTACACGTGGAATTGCTGGGTTTGAGGAACAGGCAGGTGTATCCTTTTTATTTATTATTATTATTTTTAAAATATATCTTATTGATTTTTTTTTTTACAGAGAGGAAGGGAGAGGGATAGAGAGCTAGAAACATTGATGAGAGAAAAACATCAACCAGCTGCCTCCTGCACACCCCCTACTGGCAACCAAGGTACATGCTCTTAACCGGAATCGAACCCGGGACCTTTCAGTCCGCAGACCTATGCTCTATCCACTGAGCCAAACCGGTTTCGGCTATTATTTATTTTTTAAATCCTCACCCGAGGATATGTTTTCCATTGGTTTTTAGAGATAGTGGAAGGGAGAGAGAGAGAGAGAGAGAGAGAGAGAGAGAGAGAGAGAGAGAGAGAGAGAGAAGAGAGACAGAGAGACACTGGCGTGAGAGAGACACACTGGTGGCCTCCCGCACAGCCCCTGGAAGCCTGCAACTTGAAGTATGTGCCCTTGACCGGAATCGAACCCGGGACCCTGCAGTCTGCAGGCTGACGCTCTGCCCACGGAGCCACATCGGCTAGGACGCATATGATTTGGGAAAGGTTTTAAATTAGTTTGAAATATTTAAAAAAGGGGAGCGGCCACGCACAGTCTGGAGACGTGGCTTCTCTTGGGACAGCCGGGTGCAGCCTGCGTGCCCGCGTGCCCGGGGCTGGCCCCATGGCTGGAACCTGGGCTCGCCGAGGGCCAGGCGGCCCCAGCTGCCTGGTGCTACGGGGCCACCCTCCTGCCTCCTTCGTCACACGGCCCGTGGCTGCCCCTCCCGGGGGCCAGGCCCTCCGTCACCCACACCTGCACCCGCACCCACACCCACATCCGCACGCACAGCTCACCAAACAAATCTGACACAGGAGGGGCTGACGTGAAACGTGTTAGTGATTCCGAGGGAAGCCAGGCCTTCACCCACCGCTCTGCACGGCTGGGGAGGGTTTTGATCTGGCTCCATCTCCCTACATATGCTTCGGACACACTGTTTTTAATCTTCTTTTATTAAAAACAAATCCACCCTCCCGCCCGGGCCTCTGGGGTGAGTAGCTAATTAGGGCAGAAGCCGGGCCAGCCCAGCAGGGGGTGTCACTGTCCCTCAGGAAGGAACCCGCTGCCCCTGCCCCTCGAACCCATTAACTGGGGCAAACAGGGGGCCTGACGTACGCAGAACCAACCCCCGGCTGCGGGAGAAGATGCGCCTCCACACTGCAACGGAGACAACTCTCCGTGTGCGGCTGCTCAGGCCGCCCCGGGCACCCAGCTGCGGTGGGGGACACCCACTCCTGCCGGGAGGGGTCACGGGGCCAGGGTCCCTGCTAAAGGCCTGGCCCACCTCGTGCCGGAAGCAGGGTCACATGTGGATTTAATCTAAGTAAGTCCGTGGTAGTTCCATTCATTCATCCATCCATTCATTCATTCATTCATGCATTCATTCATCCATCCATTCATTCATCCGCGGGCATTTCCTGCAGTCACGGTGAACACAATGAACAGGCCCCGCCCTTCAGGACCTCCCTTCACGCACTCCCTCTGCCCACGGTGCCTCTGCTCACAGGACTGCTTTTCCCAGCAGGCGCCACCTCATCACGCTGGCTTCCGCCTGAGTCCTCGCTACCACCAGCCCCCAGGGACCCTCAGAAACAGGCTGCACCCGTTTCTAAACCTCCCCCACAGGCTTCCTCGTAGAGATCCCGCCCAATCTTTGACCATGAAAAGTCAGATCTGCGGGGCCTCTCCGCAATCCCTCTCCTCGCTGTCTCCCGGGGAGAACATTCCCTGTGCCCCGCCTGACCCGCTAACCAATCAGCTGCCGCCCGGTGCCACCAAACCCCTGGGGTGGCCGTATGGGGGCCCAGTGCTCCTCGCCGACGCCACGGTAAACTACAACCTGCACCACCCGTTCTGGCAGTGCAGACAGACGCACAGCCGCACAGCGAGGGTCCCCCTGGGGAGTATTAACAGACACTCCATAATGGAAGACGCGGGCCTGGCTCCTCCCGTGGTCTGGTCTCACCCAGGGACACGCCACGACACTCAGGAACGTTCACAGAAACACTGACTGAGTTCGGCCAGGAGCCAGAGATTTGTTTTGTCCGTCTGTCCAACAAATATATACAGAGTGCCTTCCGCACCCAACACGGAGGGAGGGCTCCCTGGCCGCCTTGGAGGGGTGTCTGCTGGCCCGGGGAGACCAGCCCCTGGGAAGGACGCCTGTGGGTCACAGTGGGGTGGGGTGGGAG